CAAAGGTCAGGTTAAGTGAATGGAGATGTTGAAATTCGAAAATCATCCATTTTCATGAATCGTCTTTTTGAACAATAACGCATCAGTGTTCCATGCGTATAATTAATATTTGATTGTATTTGTTTGTAAACAATGTATCCATTCATTAATACCCATTCATACTTTTACCCTGTTTATTAATTTTAATTCCATGCAAATGTTTAGAAAATTTAAAAGGTTGCTAGATATTTATTTGGTTTACTTCAACGAAATTATAGAAATCTTTTGGAGTGGAACCCCATGGGTATTCCCAGTGACTTTAATTTAGTAGATATTCTTTGTAATCAGGATATTTAAAAGGTGATATCTGACCTACAGAAGCTCCAGTACTTATTAAAGAACACCTAGCAGATAAGGAAGCTGATGAGTTTGGAAGTGCCACTCTTACTTGTCAGCTTTCCAAACCGGCTGTGGAAGTCGCTTGGAAAAAGGACTCCACTTTACTCCAGCCCAGCGATAAATATGAGATAAAGCAGGAAGGAAAAACAGCGAAGCTCATCATTCATGATGTGGAACCTGGCAATGCAGGGAAATATGACTGTGACACTGGAGATGACCACACCTCTGCAGTTCTCAATGTCAAAGGTCAGGTTAAGTGAATGGAGATGTTGAAATTAGAAAATCATCCGTTATCATGAATCGTCTTTTTGAACAATAAAGCATCAGTGTTCCATGCGTATAATTAATATATGATTGTATTCGTTTGTAAACAATGTATCCATTCATTAATACCCATGCATACTTTTATCCTGTATATTAATTTTAATTCCACTGCAAATGTTTAAAAAATTAAAGAGGTTGCTAGATATTTATTTGGTTTACTTCTACGAAATTATAGAAATCTTTTGGAGTGGAACCCCATGGGTATTCCCAGTGACTTTAATTTAGTAGATATTCTTTGTAATCAGGGTATTTATAAGGTGATATCTGACCTACAGAAGCTCCAGTACTTATTAAAGAACACCTAGAAGATAAGGAAGCGGATGAGTTTGGAAGTGCCACTCTTACTTGTCAGCTTTCCAAACCGGCTGTGGAAGTCGCTTGGAAAAAGGACTCCACTTTACTCCAGCCCAGCGATAAATATGAGATAAAGCAGGAAGGAAAAACAGCGAAGCTCATCATTCATGATGTGGAACCTGGAGATGCAGGGAAATATGACTGTGACACTGGAGATGACCACACCTCTGCAGTTCTCAATGTCAAAGGTAAGGTTAAGCGAATGGAGATGTTGAAATTAAAATATCATCCATTTTCATGAATCGTCTTTTTGAACGATAACGCATCAGCGTTCCATGCGTATAATTAATATATGATTGTATTTGTTTGTAAACAATGTATCCATTCATTAATACCCATTCATACTTTTACCCTGTTTATTAATTTTAATTCCATGCAAATGTTTAGAAAATTAAAAAGGTTGCTAGATATTTATTTGGTTTACTTCAACGAAATTATAGAAATCTTTTGGAGTGGAACCCCATGGGTATTCCCAGTGACTTTAATTTAGTAGATATTCTTTGTAATCAGGATATTTAAAAGGTGATATCTGACCTACAGAAGCTCCAGTACTTATTAAAGAACACCTAGAAGATAAGGAAGCTGATGAGTTTGGAAGTGCCACTCTTACTTGTCAGCTTTCCAAACCGGCTGTGGAAGTCGCTTGGATAAAGGACTCCACTTTACTCCAGCCCAGCGATAAATATGAGATAAAGCAGGAAGGAAAAACAGCGAAGCTCATCATTCATGATGTGGAACCTGGCAATGCAGGGAGATATGACTGTGGCACTGGAGATGACCACACCTCTGCAGTTCTCAATGTCAAAGGTCAGGTTAAGTGAATGGAGATGTTGAAATTCGAAAATCATCCGTTATCATGAATCGTCTTTTTGAACAATAACGCATCAGTGTTCCATGCGTATAATTAATATATGATTGTATTCGTTTGTAAACAATGTATCCATCCATTAATACCCATTCATACTTTTACGCTGCATATACATTTTTATTCTACTGTAAATGTTTAGAAAACCTAAGAGGTTTCTAGATATTATTTTGGTTGACTTCAACGAAATGATAGAATTATTTTGGAATGGAACCCCATGGGTATTGCCAGTGACTTTAATTTATTAGATATTCTTTGTAATCAGGATAATTACAAGGTGTTATCTGACCTACAGAAGCTCCAGTACTTATTAAAGAACACCTAGAAGATCAGGAAGCTGATGAGTTTGGAAGTGCCACTCTTACTTGTCAGCTTTCCAAACCGGCTGTGGAAGTCGCTTGGAAAAAGGACTCCACTTTACTCCAGCCCAGCGATAAATATGAGATAAAGCAGGAAGGAAAAACAGCGAAGCTCATCATTCATGATGTGGAACCTGGAGATGCAGGGAAATATGACTGTGACACTGGAGATGACCACACCTCTGCAGTTCTCAATGTCAAAGGTCAGGTTAAGTGAATGGAGATGTTGAAATTCGAAAATCATCCATTTTCATGAATCGTCTTTTTGAACAATAACGCATCAGTGTTCCATGCGTATAATTAATATTTGATTGTATTCGCTTGTAAACAATGTATCCATCCATTAATACCCATTCATACTTTTACGCTGCATATACATTTTATTCTACTGTAAATGTTTAGAAAACCTAAGATGTTTCTAGATATAATTTTGGTTGACTTCAACAAAATGATAGAATTATTTTGGAATGGAACCCCATGGGTATTCCCAGTGACTTTAATTTATTAGATATTCTTTGTAATCAGGATAATTACAAGGTGTTATCTGACCTACAGAAGCTCCAGTACTTATTAAAGAACACCTAGAAGATCAGGAAGCTGATGAGTTTGGAAGTGCCACTCTTACTTGTCAGCTTTCCAAACCGGCTGTGGATGTCGCTTGGAAGAAGGACTCCACGTTACTCCAGGCCAGCGATAAATATGAGATAACGCAGGAAGGAAAAATAGCGAAGCTCATCATTCATGATGTGGAACCTGGAGATGCAGGGAAATATGGTTGTGACACTAAAGATGACCACACTTGTGCAGTTCTCAATGTCAAAGGTAAACAAGGATATCTATTTACATCCATATACAAACCACAAATACGTGAAGTTTCATCTTGATATAATTAAACAATTTAATTTTCAAATGTATACCAACAGAAGCCCCTGTTAAAATATCAGAAGGCCTGGTGGACCAGGAAGCCGAAGAGTTTGGAAGTACAACTCTTACTTGTCAGCTTTCCAAACCGGCTGTGGAAGTCGCTTGGAAAAAGGACTCCACTTTACTCCAGCCCAGCGATAAATATGAGATAAAGCAGGAAGGAAAAACAACGAAGCTCATCATTCATGATGTGGAACCTGGAGATGCAGGGAAATATGACTGTGACACTGGAGATGACCACACCTCTGCAGTTCTCAATGTCAAAGGTAAGGTTAAGCGAATGGAGATGTTGAAATTAAAATATCATCCATTTTCATGAATCGTTTTTTTGAACGATAACGCATCAGCGTTCCATGCGTAAAATGAATATATGATTGTATTCGTTTGTAAACAATGTATCCATTCATTAATACCCATGCATACTTTTATCCTGTATATTAATTTTAATTCCACTGCAAATGTTTAAAAAATTAAAGAGGTTGCTAGATATTTATTTGGTTTACTTCAACGAAATTATAGAAATCTTTTGGAGTGGAACCCCATGGGTATTCCCAGTGACTTTAATTTAGTAGATATTCTTTGTAATCAGGGTATTTATAAGGTGATATCTGACCTACAGAAGCTCCAGTACTTATTAAAGAACACCTAGAAGATAAGGAAGCTGATGAGTTTGGAAGTGCCACTCTTACTTGTCAGCTTTCCAAACCGGCTGTGGAAGTCGCTTGGAAAAAGGACTCCACTTTACTCCAGCCCAGCGATAAATATGAGATAAAGCAGGAAGGAAAAACAGCGAAGCTCATCATTCATGATGTGGAACCTGGAGATGCAGGGAAATATGACTGTGACACTGGAGACGACCACACCTCTGCAGTTCTCAATGTCAAAGGTCAGGTTAAGTGAATGGAGATGTTGAAATTAAAATATCATCCATTTTCATGAATCGTCTTTTTGAACAATAACGCATCAGTGTTCCATGCGTATAATTAAAATATGATTGTATTCGTTTGTAAATAATGTATCCATCCATTAATACCCATTCATACTTTTACGCTGCATATAAATTTTTATTCTACTGTAAATGTTTAGAAAACCTAAGAGGTTTCTAGATTTTATTTTGGTTGACTTCAACGAAATGATAGAATTTTTTTGGAATGGAACCCCATGGGTATTCCCAGTGACTTTAATTTATTAGATATTCTTTGTAATCAGGATAATTACAAGGTGTTATCTGACCTACAGAAGCTCCAGTACTTATTAAAGAACACCTAGAAGATCAGGAAGCTGATGAGTTTGGAAGGGCCACTCTTACCTGTCAGCTTTCCAAACCGGCTGTGGATGTCGCTTGGAAGAAGGACTCCACTTTACTCCAGGCCAGCGATAAATATGAGATAAAGCAGGAAGGAAAAATAGCGAAGCTCATCATTCATGATGTGGAACCTGGAGATGCAGGGCAATATGGTTGTGACACTAAAGATGACCACACTTGTGCAGTTCTCAAAGTCAAAGGTAAACAAGGATATCTATTTACATCCATATACAAACCACAAATACGTGAAGTTTCATCTTGATATAATTAAACAATTTAATTTTCAAATGTATACCAACAGAAGCCCCTGTTAAAATATCAGAAAGCCTGGTGGACCAGGAAGCCGATGAGTTTGGAAGTGCCACTCTTACTTGTCAGCTTTCCAAACCGGCTGTGGATGTCGCTTGGAAAAAGGACTCCACTTTACTCCAGTCCAGCGATAAATATGAAATAAAGCAGGAAGGAAAAACAGCGAAGCTCATCATTCATGATGTGGAACCTGGAGATGCAGGGAAATATGACTGTGACACTGGAGATGACCACACCTCTGCAGTTCTCAATGTCAAAGGTAAGGTTAAGCGAATGGAGATGTTGAAATTAAAATATCATCCATTTTCATGAATCGTTTTTTTGAACGATAACGCATCAGCGTTCCATGCGCATAATGAATATATGATTGTATTCGTTTGTAAACAATGTATCCATTCATTAATAACCATGCATACTTTTACCCTGTATATTAATTTTAATTCCACTGCAAATGTTTAGAGAATTAAAGAGGTTGCTAGATATTTATTTGGTTTACTTCAACGAAATTATAGAAATATTTTGGAGTGGAACTCCATGGGTATTCCCAGTGACTTTAATTTAGTAGATATTCTTTGTAATCAGGGTATTTACAAGGTGATATCTGACCTACAGAAGCTCCAGTACTTATTAAAGAACACCTAGAAGATAAGGAAGCTGATGAGTTTGGAAGTGCCACTCTTACTTGTCAGCTTTCCAAACCGGCTGTGGAAGTCGCTTGGAAAAAGGACTCCACTTTACTCCAGGCCAGCGATAAATATGAGATAAAGCAGGAAGGAAAAACAGCGAAGCTCATCATTCATGATGTGGAACCTGGAGATGCCGGGGAATATGGTTGTGACACTAGAGATGACCACACTTGTGCAGTTCTCAAAGTCAAAGGTAAACAAGGATATGTTTTTTTCTCCACTTACAAACCACAAATATGTGTTGTTTAATTTTGAAATAATTTCAAATGTACTTTTCAAATGTATACCAACAGAAGCCCCTGTTAAAATATCAGAAGGCCTGGTGGACCAGGAAGCCGATGAGTTTGGAAGTGCCACTCTTACTTGTCAGCTTTCCAAACCGGCTGTGGAAGTCGCTTGGAAAAAGGACTCCACTTTACTCCAGCCCAGCGATAAATATGAGATAAAGCAGGAAGGAAAAACAGCGAAGCTCATCATTCATGATGTGGAACCTGGAGATGCAGGGAAATATGACTGTGACACTGGAGATGACCACACCTCTGCAGTTATCAATGTCAAAGGTCAGGTTAAGTGAATGGAGATGTTGAAATTCGAAAATCATCCATTTTCATGAATAGTCTTTTTGAACAATAACGCATCAGCGTTCCATGCGTATAATTAATATATGATTGTATTCGTTTGTAAATAATGTATCCATCCATTAATACCCATTCATACTTTTACGCTGCATTTACATGTTTATTCTACTGTAAATGTTTAGAAAACCTAAGAGGTTTCTAGATATTATTTTGGTTGACTTCAACGAAATGATAGAATTATTTTGGAATGGAACCCCATGGGTATTCCCAGTGACTTTAATTTATTAGATATTCTTTGTAATCAGGATAATTACAAGGTGTTATCTGACCTACAGAAGCTCCAGTACTTATTAAAGAACACCTAGAAGATCAGGAAGCTGATGAGTTTGGAAGTGCCACTCTTACTTGTCAGCTTTCCAAACCGGCTGTGGAAGTCGCTTGGAAAAAGGACTCCACTTTACTCCAGCCCAGCGATAAATATGAGATAAAGCAGGAAGGAAAAACAGCGAAGCTCATCATTCATGATGTGGAACCTGGAGATGCAGGGAAATATGACTGTGACACTGGAGATGACCACACCTCTGCAGTTATCAATGTCAAAGGTCAGGTTAAGTGAATGGAGATGTTGAAATTCGAAAATCATCCATTTTCATGAATAGTCTTTTTGAACAATAACGCATCAGCGTTCCATGCGTATAATTAATATATGATTGTATTCGTTTGTAAATAATGTATCCATCCATTAATACCCATTCATACTTTTACACTGCATTTACATTTTTATTCTACTGTAAATGTTTAGAAAACCTAAGAGGTTTCTAGATATTATTTTGGTTGACTTCAACGAAATGATAGAATTATTTTGGAATGGAACCCCATGGGTATTCCCAGTGACTTTAATTTATTAGATATTCTTTGTAATCAGGATAATTACAAGGTGTTATCTGACCTACAGAAGCTCCAGTACTTATTAAAGAACACCTAGAAGATCAGGAAGCTGATGAGTTTGGAAGTGCCACTCTTACCTGTCAGCTTTCCAAACCGGCTGTGGATGTCGCTTGGAAGAAGGACTCCACTTTACTCCAGGCCAGCGATAAATATGAGATAAAGCAGGAAGGAAAAATAGCGAAGCTCATCATTCATGATGTGGAACCTGGAGATGCAGGGCAATATGGTTGTGACACTAGAGATGACCACACTTGTGCAGTTCTCAAAGTCAAAGGTAAACAAGGATATGTTTTTTTCTCCATTTACAAACCACAAATATGTGTTGTTTAAATTTGAAATAATTTCAAATGTACTTTTCAAATGTATACCAACAGAAGCCCCTGTTAAAATATCAGAAGGCCTGGTGGACCAGGAAGCCGATGAGTTTGGAAGTGCCACTCTTACTTGTCAGCTTTCCAAACCGGCTGTGGAAGTCGCTTGGAAAAAGGACTCCACTTTACTCCAGCCCAGCGATAAATATGAGATAAAGCAGGAAGGAAAAACAGCGAAGCTCATCATTCATGATGTGGAACCTGGAGATGCAGGGAAATATGACTGTGACACTGGAGATGACCACACCTCTGCAGTTCTCAATGTCAAAGGTCAGGTTAAGTGAATGGAGATGATGAAATTCGAAAATCATCCATTTTCATGAATCGTCTTTTTGAACAATAACGCATCAGTGTTCCATGCGTATAATTAATATATGATTGTATTCGTTTGTAAATAATGTATCCATCCATTAATACCCATTCATACTTTTACGCTGCATATACATTTTTATTCTACTGTAAATGTTTAGAAAACCTAAGAGGTTTCTAGATATTATTTTGGTTGACTTCAACGAAATGATAGAATTATTTTGGAATGGAACCCCATGGGTATTTCCAGTGACTTTAATTTATTAGATATTCTTTGTAATCAGGATAATTACAAGGTGTTATCTGACCTACAGAAGCTCCAGTACTTATTAAAGAACACCTAGAAGATCAGGAAGCTGATGAGTTTGGAAGTGCCACTCTTACCTGTCAGCTTTCCAAACCGGCTGTGGATGTCGCTTGGAAGAAGGACTCCACTTTACTCCAGGCCAGCGATAAATATGAGATAAAGCAGGAAGGAAAAATAGCGAAGCTCATCATTCATGATGTGGAACCTGGAGATGCAGGGCAATATGGTTGTGACACTAAAGATGACCACACTTGTGCAGTTCTCAAAGTCAAAGGTAAACAAGGATATCTATTTACATCCATATACAAACCACAAATACGTGAAGTTTCATCTTGATATAATTAAACAATTTAATTTTCAAATGTATACCAACAGAAGCCCCTGTTAAAATATCAGAAGGCCTGGTGGACCAGGAAGCCGATGAGTTTGGAAGTGCCACTCTTACTTGTCAGCTTTCCAAACCGGCTGTGGAAATCGCTTGGAAAAAGGACTCCACTTTACTCCAGTCCAGCGATAAATATGAGATAAAGCAGGAAGGAAAAACAGCGAAGCTCATCATTCATGATGTGGAACCTGGAGATGCAGGGAAATATGACTGTGACACTGGAGATGACCACACCTCTGCAGTTCTCAATGTCAAAGGTAAGGTTAAGCGAATGGAGATGTTGAAATTAAAATATCATCCATTTTCATGAATCGTTTTTTTGAACGATAACGCATCAGCGTTCCATGCGTAAAATGAATATATGATTGTATTCGTTTGTAAACAATGTATCCATTCATTAATACCCATGCATACTTTTATCCTGTATATTAATTTTAATTCCACTGCAAATGTTTAAAAAATTAAAGAGGTTGCTAGATATTTATTTGGTTTACTTCAACGAAATTATAGAAATATTTTGGAGTGGAACCCCATGGGTATTCCCAGTGACTTTAATTTAGTAGATATTCTTTGTAATCAGGGTATTTACAAGGTGATATCTGACCTACAGAAGCTCCAGTACTTATTAAAGAACACCTAGAAGATAAGGAAGCCGATGAGTTTGGAAGTGCCACTCTTACTTGTCAGCTTTCCAAACCGGCTGTGGAAGTCGCTTGGAAAAAGGACTCCACTTTACTCCAGCCCAGCGATAAATATGAGATAAAGCAGGAAGGAAAAACAGCGAAGCTCATCATTCATGATGTGGAACCTGGAGATGCAGGGAAATATGACTGTGACACTGGAGATGACCACACCTCTGCAGTTCTCAATGTCAAAGGTCAGGTTAAGTGAATGGAGATGATGAAATTCGAAAATCATCCATTTTCATTAATCGTCTTTTTGAACAATAACGCATCAGTGTTCCATGCGTATAATTAATATATGATTGTATTCGTTTGTAAATAATGTATCCATCCATTAATACCCATTCATACTTTTACGCTGCATATACATTTTTATTCTACTGTAAATGTTTAGAAAACCTAAGAGGTTTCTAGATATTATTTTGGTTGACTTCAACGAAATGATAGAATTATTTTGGAATGGAACCCCATGGGTATTTCCAGTGACTTTAATTTATTAGATATTCTTTGTAATCAGGATAATTACAAGGTGTTATCTGACCTACAGAAGCTCCAGTACTTATTAAAGAACACCTAGAAGATCAGGAAGCTGATGAGTTTGGAAGTGCCACTCTTACCTGTCAGCTTTCCAAACCGGCTGTGGATGTCTCTTGGAAGAAGGACTCCACTTTACTCCAACCCAGCGATAAATATGAGATAAAGCAGGAAGGAAAAACAGCGAAGCTCATCATTCATGATGTGGAACCTGGAAAAGCAGGGAAATATGACTGTGACACTGGAGATGACCACACCTCTGCAGTTCTCAATGTCAAAGGTCAGGTTAAGTGAATGGAGATGTTGAAATTCGAAAATCATCCATTTTCATGAATCGTCTTTTTGAACAATAACGCATCAGTGTTCCATGCGTATAATTAATATATGATTGTATTCGTTTGTAAATAATGTATCCATCCATTAATACCCATTCATACTTTTACGCTGCATATACATTTTTATTCTACTGTAAATGTTTAGAAAACCTAAGAGGTTTCTAGATTTTATTTTGGTTGACTTCAACGAAATGATAGAATTATTTTGGAATGGAACCCCATGGGTATTCCCAGTGACTTTAATTTAATAGATATTCTTTGTAATCAGGATAATTACAAGGTGTTATCTGACCTACAGAAGCTCCAGTACTTATTAAAGAACACCTAGAAGATCAGGAAGCTGATGAGTTTGGAAGTGCCACTCTTACCTGTCAGCTTTCCAAACCGGCTGTGGATGTCGCTTGGAAGAAGGACTCCACTTTACTCCAGGCCAGCGATAAATATGAGATAAAGCAGGAAGGAAAAATAGCGAAGCTCACCATTCATGATGTGGAACCTGGAGATGCAGGGCAATATGGTTGTGACACTAAAGATGACCACACTTGTGCAGTTCTCAAAGTCAAAGGTAAACAAGGATATCTATTTACATCCATATACAAACCACAAATACGTGAAGTTTCATCTTGATATAATTAAACAATTTAATTTTCAAATGTATACCAACAGAAGCCCCTGTTAAAATATCAGAAGGCCTGGTGGACCAGGAAGCCGATGAGTTTGGAAGTGCCACTCTTACTTGTCAGCTTTCCAAACCGGCTGTGGAAGTCGCTTGGAAAAAGGACTCCACTTTACTCCAGCCCAGCGATAAATATGAGATAAAGCAGGAAGGAAAAACAGCGAAGCTCATCATTCATGATGTGGAACCTGGAGATGCAGGGAAATATGACTGTGACACTGGAGATGACCACACCTCTGCAGTTCTCAATGTCAAAGGTAATACAAATAAATATTATTGATCTGCAATTTTTCATTTCATAATGTAGCTCCTAGCAGTGAAGATGTTTTTAATTTAACGGAGGCGGACGCCACCTGCAATCGTAAACGAGGTCGTCTACCTCAGCAGACGTCAAGTTCACTCTGCTGCTGCTGCTGCTCCTGCTGCTCCTGCTGCTACGGTGGCGAGATGTTCCCTCCCTCGCCTTCTATACAGGATTTAGATCCCGACCCTGACTCCTGTATATTTGGAGTTTGCATGTCTCTATCTCCCTCGTCGTCATCCCGTGGATTTTTCTCTGGGTCCTCCAGTTTTCCCCTCCTCATTTAGAAACAAGCGGCTTGTTATATTTTGCTGCTATAATAAATTTATACGTGAAAAGCCGTTTCATTGAAGCCATCCTTTTTGGCCAGGTCACTTCTGAAAAATAACTTTATAGCTCAGTGGACCCTACCTGGTAATATAAAAACAAACTTAGTTTTTGTTTAGAAGTCACGTCGACGGAAATTGGCGCCAAATTACCCCTTGCCAGGCGATTGGCTGGTGGTCGAGCCGGACTGATGATGTCATCCACATCAATGGCTGCCACGTCGCCCGTGACGCCGAAACGGCGTCGAATTCGCTTTTCTCGCTACGCATTTTTGTAGAGAACGAAAATCGTTGTCCGCTTACATTTACGAAATTTTATACGAGGCGCTTGAGATTATTATGACTCTATAAGTATTTAATTGCACTTTTCATGACTTAAGACACTTTGATTATTCACGTGGCGTTGGTGTTCATTAAAATGTAACATTGCATTCTAGATTTGAAGCTTTCGTGACTGCAAGGATTCATATTCTTAGGTTTTTTCGTACAACATATGCAAGATCCTCATCCACTAATCAGTAAACTTTAAACACAGAAACCAAATTATGATGCGTGACTAACTGCAGAATACAGTATATTCTTTCCTTGAATTAAAAAAAACGTGTTTGGGTGGCCATCAGAGTTGGCAGAGTCCCAGTCTAAATGTGATATTTAGAGCATTGGCTCAGGACTTCCAACGTGGCATAAACCTTGGCTTGGGTGTTGGGGGCACTTGAAATGGTTCCTGACTTACACTGATGACATCCTTGCTGCAGAGGCACCAGTTCTGATCCGAGAGGCACTGCGTGACCAAGAGGCTTTGGAATTCGAGAACCTCACTCTCAGCTGTCGACTTTCCAAGCCAAATGCTCCCTTGGCTTGGCAAATGGGATCCAGCATCCTGCGGTCTGGCGAGAAGTACAGTTTGGTCCAAGAGGGTGACGTTGCCAAGCTCACAATATACAACCTGCAGATGAGCGACGCGGGCGATTACGAATGCGACACTGGGGATGACAGAACCATCGCTACGATTACCGTGAAAGGTACTCGGATGATCCATTTCATTTATTTTCATCTCAAGGAAGTTGAATGTTCGTGGCATCACTAATCAATTCAAAGCTGCTTGTGACGATGACGAGCAAATTGATTCACTTTGAGATGGCCTCTGTGGTTTGCAGAAGCCCCAGTGCTGATTCGCGATGGTTTAAAGGACCAGGAGGTCAACGAATGTGAGAGCGCCATCCTCACGTGCCAGCTTTCCAAAACGCCAAAGGAATTGGTGTGGGAGAAGGACTGCACTGTCCTGCGACCCGGTGATAAGTATGAGATGGGGCAGGAAGGAAACGTGGCAATGCTCATTGTCCACGACGTACAGATGGAAGACGCGGGGGAGTACCGGTGTGACACGGGCGACGAGAACACATCCGCGTCCCTGACTGTCAAAGGTAATGAGTGGTCTTATTTCGACTCATTCCACTCGATTAATTGAATTTAATTGATGGAGATTTAGTAAATGTTGAAACATTTAATCATTATCAGGTATTCATATTCTTAGTTCTTTCGGTAAAGTCGCGTAGATAAAAAATAAAATAAAATAAACCCACGACGTTTCGATTGCAACAAAAGTGGTCTTCATCAGGCGGAGAGACAAAAAAAGAATATGAATTCCTGCAGTCACGAAAGTTTTAAGTCATTATCAGGTATTTTGGTTTTGTTGATATTTTCACAAATTGACGGTTTTGCTCCAAATATATTTCGGAACTTTTCTCGTCCTGGCAACATGTGTTCATCATTCATTCCAGAACTCCTGTAGAAATATACTTTTTTCTGTAACCTCTTATCTGTAAAATGAATTAAATTATTCTTAACCATTATATCCAACGCACAAAGGGACTGCGTAGTATTTATTTAACATCGGTTAAGATATTGTGTGTTCTCTTTGCAATCTTCACAGAAGCACCGGTGCTCATCAGTGAACCTCCGAGGGATGAAGAAGCCGAGGAGTTTGGCAGCGCTGAGCTCAGCTGTCGGCTTTCCAAACCGGCTCGCGAGGTCGCCTGGCGGAAGGGATCTGTGGTGCTGCAGCCCGGAGAGAAGTACGAGATGGAGTACGCGGGGGCTGTTGCGAAGCTGATTGTTCACGACCTGCAAGTTGAAGATGCTGGGAACTATGAATGTGACACGGGGGATGATTGTGCAAGTGCTACATTGAATGTGAAAGGTATTTGTTTTTTTTTATGTGTCAACAGTACAGTGGCGGCAGAGCGGCGGGACATTTGTTAGCTAACTGCGCTGCGAAGTCGGCGACTTGAGTTGGATTCCCAGGCAGAGTTATCAACGGCAGCAAAGTGATATCTGACCGTGGTTCCACCCTTCACCAGAATATAGTGTATGTTCAATATGTGGATGCTTATATCATAGACTATTGAATTGGTGCATCCTGGCCATTTTCACATATTAATTCTTGACAAAGTGAAGTGGTAAGTAAATATACATTACAGTGTTTAATGTGAGAATAAGAATGGGCACTTGATTCATATTGTGGCCCAGAACATGACGATTTATAGAAAGTCTCGAGTGGGGATAATAATTTCATGCAAGGTGATAACTGGCTTCTTTGATCCGTGATTGCATACGGGAGAGCATAATGCAGTTCCACGTCAAAACCCCTCCTGACCAATCCACTCCATCTTCCTCCTGTGGCCACAGAGAAGCCCGCGATGTTCACCAAGGGTCTGCAGGAGGTGAGCGTGGAGGAGAGGGGCGATGCCGTGCTGCTGTGCGAGCTGTCCAAAGAGGGCGCCCCCGTCAGCTGGCTGAAGGACGGCCGGGCCCTGGGCCCCGACGGGAGGCACGAGACGAGCCAGGAGGGACGCACGGCCCGGCTCGTCCTGCACCACCTGAGCCTGCACGACAGCGGCCGCTACTCGTGCGCCACCGGCCACGACGTCACCGCCGCCACGCTCACCGTCACCGGTGATTGTCCGTGTGTTTGTGTACAGCTCGTTGAGGGGGCTATTTAAACATACTTCACCTTGCTGGTCAGTGAGGTTGGCGATGGATTGGAATATAGGATCGAGATTGAAAACGATTAAAATCTCGATTGAAAATTCACGTCCTTCCCCCGCACCTCCAATTAGTACGGTTGGCTACATCCATTGCAAAATAAGTTCAACATACATAGAATGTGTGAGCATAATAGTACAATACAAGAATAAGTTAATTTAATTTAGTTTGGTGGCGCCCTACAGGCTAATCTATCACAATACAAAGGCCACTGCCCCAGCCCCTGTGGTTGGACCATCTCTAGCTCCACCCATCTCAGGCCTATATAAGACCTGGTCTCAGCAGCTTTTTCTCTCTCTCACCTGAAGACGATTGCTTGTGTTGCGATTGAAACGTCGTGATATTTTTATTATTATTTTTCTATCTACGTGGCCTTACCAAAAGACCCATAGAATATGAATTTAGTTCTCTTAGATTTGTTACACGGATGATCCCATTTAGTCAGCTGTCCGGCTATTTTACGCGGGAGACACGTGATGTGTGTGCACAGCAGCAGCTGAGAATGAGTACAGGGTCTCTCTCTCTCTGCTTATATGTCTGTCTATATGTCTGTCTATATGTCTGTCTATATGTCTGTCTATATGTCTGTCTATATGTCTCCGGTTCTGTGTTTTATCTCTCTCTCAAATGTAGCATTCTCTGGAAGAACGTAATCAACCAGGTATGGTGTTGACTGTTATGTTAGCCGACTCTCTGTGTTGTATTGCATTACATTTCTAAGTATACTAGGTTTGTTTTCTCTTTCATTTATACCTGATGATGATTGCTTGTGTTGCAATCGAAACTGTCGTATGCTATTATTTAATTCATTATTTTATCTTTATACGTGACTTTACCGAATGAACCAAAGAGTGAGTACAGGGGTCCTTAGCGAATATCGCACGACTGACAAACAAATTCATCTGGTTTCCCACCTCTGCATTGTCCGCGCAGAACTGGACATCTCGATGGTGAGAGGCCTCGAGGACTGCGAGGTGCAGGAGACTGAGAGGGCGACGTTCACCGTGGAGATCTCGCACCCCGACGTGCTGCGCGTCGAGTGGTGGCTCGGCGAGTCGCCGGTCCGGAACAACGAGCTCAACGAGCTGTTCGTCGATGGCAGAGAGCACACTCTCATTTTAAACAACCTCACTCTCCAGGATAGTGGCACCATCCGGTTCCAGGCTGGAAATGCCACCTCAACGGCAACGCTGACAGTGACGAGTACGGAGCACTTTCTGTCGTGCGCACGGGCACAAAAAAAACACCTCGTTTGTATTTCGTGTGTGATTAAGAAAATACGAACAACATCAAACCGCTAAGAAAAATACGAGTGGGCTCGGGCAGGGCACGGCGCTAGAAGGGATGATGACGGTCATGAATAGAATCGTTCCTTGCTTCTCGAATCGGTCCGGTCCCGGTATTTCTCATGTGTGGTACGGCCACTACATCAAAGAGAGATGAGGATGGCTTGGGGAGGTCTTAATCGAGCAGTGGATTGATCATGGCTGTGACGATAATGACAATGATGATGAGGATCATGATAATATGTTTGCGTTCTGCAGAGCTGCCGGTGCGGGTGGTGCGGCCGCTGCAGGACGTGGCGGTGGAGGAGGAGCAGGCGGTGAGCCTGGAGTGCGAGCTCTCGGAGGCGGCCGCCGACGTCGTGTGGAGGAAGGACGGCCGCGAGCTGGAGGCCGGGGGCCGCGTGGCCGCGAGAAGCGACGGGAACCTCGTGAGACTCGTCGTCCAGGCAGCCCGGCCGCAGGACAGCGGCGTGTACAGCTGTGAGGCCGGCGCGGCGAGCTCCTCCGCCACGGTGCACGTCAGAGGTGCGTGTCGTCGTTGTAAGAATCATTTTCACGTAGTAATTGTAATTTGCAGCCCTTTGTCAATCCACTGCTGTCTGAGGGCCTTCCCAGGCTGTGCGTCAGTCCTGGCAGTTGTTTGTCAGAACTTCTCACTCACCACTCACTGCTGTTAGCCATGGTAGAGAGGGAATCAGAGTGTCTGGTTCCTCACGCAGCGTAACCACCTTTGTCAAAATGAATTCCTGCAGTCACGAAAGCCTTAAGTCAATAATACATGTCTTTTATACCCATTAATAACATATTATGAACATCAAAATGGTCTCCTTTCATAAAAAAAAAATATAAAATATTATTACTATATTTAAATAACTTAAATAATATGAGGCTTAAGGGCCTATTATTTATTGCCTCTCTCGGCAGACCATTTTGAAAAACGAACTCCGAAATGTTTAAAATGTCTCTATACAACCAGTGAACGCTAAAGCGGAAGTCCAAGGATAAACATCTGAATGTTCACGGGGGAACTCGTGGCGACGTTTCCCTGCAGATCTGCCGGTGCAGGTGCTGGAGCCGCTGAGCGACGTGACCGCGACAGGAAGGCGGCGAGGCGTCTCTCCGCTGCTCCCTGTCCAAACCGGGCACCGAGGTCGCGTGGACGAAGGACGCGCGACCCGTGCTGGCTGGCGATAAGTACGACGTGGGCTCTGAGGGTCTCTCCGTGTGGCTCGCCGTCAGAGCGCTGTGTCTCGATGACGCGGGGTCGTACGCGTGCCACGTGGGAGACCTGCAGACCACAGCAATCCTCACCGTGCAAGGTTGGCCATCTCAGGCTCTGTGCCACCACGCTCTCTCTCTCGCTCTTTGTTTCGCCTTCACAGGAACCATATTGGTGGCTAGGAGATGTTAACTACCGTGCCTGGTATGCAGGAGGTTGTCGGTTTGATGCCGAGCCTGACGACTGCTGTATATTTGGAGTCTGCGTCTCTCTCTCTCCCCGTGGTTGTGTGGATTTTTCACCGGGTACTGCGGGTTTTCCCTCCGCATTAGAATCAACATGCGTTTAGATGATTTGGCTGCTATACATTTCAATGTGATAAGCCACTTCGTTGAGTTATCATTGATGGCCAGGTCGTTTCTAAAATAGAACTATATAGCTCAGTGGGCCTCAGCTGGTAAAATAAAAAATAGTTTAGTTTTACTTGGTTTCAAGCTCAACATCAACAAATTGTGCACAGCGATGAACAGCTCTCCAGTGCGTTTTTGGGTTGTGCCACGTGGTGTACGGCATGGAGCCCGACGTTTTGCACCACGTGCTGTACTGAACAATACGTGCTACAACCATAAAACAGTGGAGAGCTGTCCAACACAACTGCAACAATCCAAAAAGGTTACGAATTAAAACAATTGCTTGAAACGCGATGTGGATGACAAAATGAAACAACCTTGGAAGTTATTCTTAAGATGAGGCTCCTAAATAATTTGTGTTATATAATACTATGAAAGATGACCACTATGTGCCAAAAGCTTGTATTAGGTCTATCATATACAGTATATTATTGCATTTTGTTGTATTATAATGCCTTTCTTTAAAAAATAAAATGTTTTAATTGTAGGAAGGCTTCAGTGCATATCTTCATTGTATTATTTTCGTTTGGTTATTTAGCACGTGCATTATTTGAGGGAACGTAAATTAAATGTCACTGACGTTGAATTCCCCTTTTGACTCTTCACAGAGAAGCCCGCGGTGTTCACCAAGCGTCTGGAGGAGGTGAGCGTGGAGGAGAGGGGCGATGCCGTGCTGCTGTGCGAGCTGTCCAAAGAGGGCGCCCCCGTCAGCTGGCTGAAGGACGGCCGGGCCCTCGGCCCCGACGGGAGGCACGAGACGAGCCAGGAGGGACGCACGGCCCGGCTCGTCCTGCACGGCCTGAGCCTGCACGACAGCGGCCGCTACTCGTGCGCCACCGGCCACGACGTCACCGCCGCCACGCTCACCGTCACCGGTAACAAATCGACGCGTCCTCCGTTGGCGTGACAATCCGTGAGTGTGTTCGCCACTCTGAGGCGTAAAATATTCTTACTTAACCGCAGTAATTTGTAGGAGTCTGGTTGGCATAACCTTTTTGTTCAAAAGATTATTGTCGATAATAATTGACAATCCTTCGTAAAACTACGATTTGATGAAGGCCTTCTCACACCATGTCAGTTGTGAGATTTGTTTGGGCATTCTTCGTCACAGGGGTGAGTGTGGGTTGGTGAAGGAACCAGGAGCCGTTCGGATATCACTCACCACTGATATATTATCTGTGGACGGGAATTTACCACATGAGCCACTGTGCCAACCACCGCATCCCAAATATTATTATTACATTAAAAAATTAGTTAAATTGATACTATTATCATAAAATGACAATATTTGTCCTCAGGAGACAGGAGGATCTCCTTTCGTGTCGCTTCCTCATTGTCCGCGCAGAACTGGACATCTCGATCGTGAGAGGCCTCGAGGACTGCGAGGTGCAGGAGACGCAGAGGGCGACGTTCACCGTGGAGATCTCGCACCCCGACGTGCTGTGCGTCGAGTGGTGGCTCGGCGAGTCGCCTCTCCGGAACAACGAGCTCAACGAGATCTCCGTGAGCGGGAGCGAGCACACCCTGACCCTGCGCAACGTCACGCTGCAGGACGGAGGCGCGGTCAGATTCCAGGCCGGGGCCGCCACCTCCTGTGCCACGCTCAGAGTCAACAGTAAGAGTCGTTTTCTCGAGTATGGCACGAGTTGATGACGCCGCTCACACTTACTCTTCGTGTAATTGTGTGCACACAATTTTTGTATATTTCATATTTTGTTATACAGGGTGTTTAAAAAAGATGGACCCAATTCCAAAGCAGTACTGCTTTGAAATTAGGTCCATCTTTTTAAACACCCTGTATTTCCTATTTGGACCATTATTAATACCGTGTGACACATGCCAATATGTGGTATGACAGGTATTAATTTGTTAAAGGTAGTTATTTATCTAGGAAGTAATCGCGGAGAGTCTTCATTGCTTCATTGCCTCCTGTAGGCACCTCGCTTCTCAGTGAGTGTCACCCCAACTCCAAGTTGCTTCGTTAAATTCTATCATCGCCACTCCTGCCGGAAACGAGCTAATCTCCATGGCAACGTTGCGTGTTTGCGGTGGCCCCCTCGCAGAGCTGCCGGTGCGGGTGGTGCGGCCGCTGCAGGACGTGGCGGTGGAGGAGGAGCAGGCGGTGAGCCTGGAGTGCGAGCTCTCGGAGGCGGCCGCCGACGTCGTGTGGAGGAAGGACGGCCGCGAGCTGGAGGCCGGGGGCCGCGTGGCCGCGGGGCGCGACGGGAACCTCGTGAGACTCGTCGTCCAGGCAGCCCGGCCGCAGGACAGCGGCGTGTACAGCTGTGAGGCCGGCGCGGCGAGCTCCTCCGCCACAGTGCACGTCAGAGGTGCGTGTCGTTGTTGTAAGAATCATTTGTATTAAGTAATTATAACAATCATTTTATGAAGCAACAATAATTTGCATCCGGGTGCCTCCCCACGCTGCACCAGCTCTGGCGGGTGTTTGACCACACTTCACACTGGGCAGCAGAAAGGATGTCGATGATTGGCATTTCACAATTGGTAGCTCTAAGGCAGAGAGACGGAACTGTAACTCGTGATAGATATACAATCATAAACATAGTGGAGGCATCGCCTGCAGATCTCTACAAACCAAAACAATAACACGAGCAAATACATCGATTCAGTTTTCCGATGCAATGTCCTATTCAACTCCAACTCGGTGTAGCGAGCAAAGTGCAACGCGGCCATTGTGTCCTCCAGAGCTGCCGCTGCAAATTCTGGAGCCGTTGGTAGACCAGGAGGCCACGGAGGGTGAGTCGGCTCGGCTCAGCTGCCGGCTGTCCAAGCCGCACGCGAGCGTCGCCTGGAGCAGGGGCTCCCAGCCCCTCCACGACGGCGACAAGTTCGAGCCCCGTGTGGACGGTCACACGGCCGTCCTCGTCATCAGAGACGTGGGGCCCGACGACGCGGGGACGTACACGTGCTGGGCCGGGGAGCAGGAGAGCGCCGCGCGGCTCTCCGTCCTGGGTGCGTCACGGGCCCCCCCCCCCCCCCCCCCCCCCGCGCTCACGGGGACGTGGACCTGAAACCACGGGGACCCGAGTTGGAGTCCTTGGGCGGTACAGGCTGTACCATAAAGCAACTGCACATTGGCAATGCTTGAAAGTGACAAAGATCGTAAACTTTAAAATAAATATACGTCCATCTTTAAAGTTTTAAAAAGTTCCACAACATAGCTTGTAGAACATCTGGAGGAATTGAAAATTATCATCTTGCCTCAACCAAGTGCCCATATGTAAATGCCAGTGTTTTTTTCTTCCGCCACAGAGAAGCCCGCGGTGTTCACCAAGGGTCTGGAGGAGGTGAGCGTGGAGGAGAGGGGCGATGCCGTGCTGCTGTGCGAGCTGTCCAAAGAGGGCGCCCCCGTCAGCTGGCTGAAGGACGGCCGGGCCCTGGGCCCCGAAGGGAGGCACGAGACGAGCCAGGAGGGACGCACGGCCCGGCTCGTCCTGCACCGGCCTGAGCCTGCACGACAGCGGCCGCTACTCGTGCGCCACCGGCCACGACGTCACCACCGCCACGCTCACCGTCACCGGTGATTGTCCGTGTGTTTGTGTACAGCTCGTTGAGGGGGCTATTCGACCATACTTCACCTTACTGGCCAGTGAGGGTGGCGACGGCTGGGAATATAGGATCTAGATTGAAAACGATTAAATCTCGATTGAAAATTCATTTCTTTAGAAAAGCTTTTCGTGGTTAATTTATTGTCCTTCCCCCGCACCTCCAATTAGTACGGTTATCTACATCCAGCGCTAAATAAGTTCAACAAAATAGAATATTTGAGCATAATAGTACAACACAAGAATAAGGTAATTTAATTTAGTTTACTCAGATTTGTTACACGGACAGCGGCCGCTGCTCGTGCGGCACCGGCCACGATCACCGTCACCGGTAACAAATCGACGCTTGCAGCTGTCACTCGTTTAAAGAAGAAGTACTGAACGATTGATTAACGGGCACAAACAATATTCTGGTTATCTGAACAAATTGGTGGAAAGCTGCAGACAAGAAGATTGGGAATAGGGTACAAGAGTGAGTACGGGCGGTGTGTGGGATGAGTGTAGACAGCTTCACAGACTTATCTAACGTATTTGAGACTAATAATAACTAGTGGGGCGTGGTGTGGTTGATCTGAGGGCTACCCTACCACATTGCCACGAAGGTGGCATACACATGCAGCGTGAAGACTCAACGTGCGCTCTTGTCTCTTCCAGAGCTGCCACTGAGGGTCCTGACTCCACTCGTGGATGTGGAGGTGATGTCAGGTACGGCGCACGATGCGATCGACGTACATCCCGCACGTGACAAAGGCCACATCAGTCGGATGCGCGAACCGCTCCCGTCACGTGACCCCGCGCCGTGTTCGCTCCGGAATGCCGTCGCAGGCGAGGCGGCGACGTTCTCCTGCGAGCTGTCGCGCGGCGCCGCGACGGACGCTCGCTGGTGGCTCGGGGACACGAGGCTGCTGGACAACGAGCTGAACGCGCTGGGCATGCAGGACGAGCGCACGCACACGCTCACGCTGCGTCGGCTCACGCCGGACGACAGTGCCTGCGTCACCTTCTGTGCCGGCGACGTCTCGTCCAGCGCGACGCTCACCGTGACGCGTAAGCGAGCCGCGGGCGTTCGCCGTCGCGGGCGATCGCGTTCGTGAATGGCGTGGTCCCTGCAACGGTTGTAAATACTGATGTTTAGAAAAGTTACATTTTTGTCAAATATCTTTATTTATCCAGACAAGCCAATTAATGAATGCTTATACAAGTGGGAGGAAACTGGAGCTCCCGGAGAAAGCCTACGCGCGTTGTGGTAGTTTGCAAAAATGTTTTGATCATTTTCAGTGGTTTTTATCGGCTGCACCATTGACTTATATTTACAGTGGCTGCTGCTTTTAGTTCCGTTACGGTGGTGAACGCCCCCCCCCTAATCCCGGCGCGGCCTTCCCGCAGGGCGCCCCGTGACGGTGACCTCGCCCCTGGCGGACACGGCCGTGGAGGAGGGCGAGCCGCTGCGTCTGTCGTGCGCGCTGTCGGAGCCGGCTCCCGTCACGTGGAGCAAGGACAGCGGAGAGCTCGGGGCGAGCGATCGGATCCGCCTGGCTCTCGAGGGCAGCTCGGCCGTCCTGGAGATCCAGCGGGCGGCGCTGGGAGACTCGGGCGTGTACACCTGCGCCACGCTCGACGACAGCTCGTCCGCACGGCTGACCGTCTCAGGTACCGCGGGTGGAAGGGCAGGCGGGCATTTAATCTCTCTCTGTTGTGCGGAGCTTTCCTATCTTATCCTGCGTGTGGGTTTCCTTTGGGTCATCATTCATTGGATTGGCAACATCAGTTTAAATGTGATGACATAGAGGCACAGACCTTCAGAGTGACTTTGTAGGGATAGTGCAATTGACCGTGATCAGGAAGCCGTGAGTGCAGGAAAATCCTCGTAAAAAATAACTCATCAAACATCCCAATCCAGGGCCTTCTTGAAAGAGAGCCTTGAGACTCAATGAGGCTTTCTTGGGTATACAAAAGGGCATTATTAAAATTTAATTTTAAGATTTTTTTCTGTTAAACCCAGCGAGATGTGAACTACCTCGCCTGGTATGCAGGAATTCGTGGGTTTGATACCGAATCTGACGGCTGTATATTTCCACGTGGTCACGTGGATTTTTCTCTGGAAATGCTCTCCATTTCCACACGATGAGCCACTTCTTTGAGCTATCATTTGTGACCGGGTCGCTTCTGAAAAAGAGCTACACAGCTCAGCGGGGCCTGACCTGCTAAAATAAAAAACTTTATTTTTTTATTTTTGGTCCCCTCGTTCCACCGCACCACAGAGAAGGTGGCGGTGTTCATTGCGCCGCTGGAGGACGTGCGGGCAGAGGAGCGCTCGCGCGTCGTGCTGTCCTGCGAGCTGTCGCGTCCCGACGTCGAAGTCGTCTGGCTCAGAGACGACGTGGAGCTGGAGGCGTCGCCGCGGGCCTCGGCGAGCCGCGACGGCGCCCGCGCCGCCCTCGTAATCACCGCCGTACGGACGGACGACGCCGGGGAGTACTCGTGCCGCACGCGCCACGACCGCACGGCCGCCGTGCTCGTCGTCACAGGTACGCCCGCCGACTGGGGGGCTACGTGGCGACCTCCCTCACAGCTCGATTCGTCGCCACGGACCAACTCATTGATTCGTCGATTCAAGTCGATTTTTACGTTCACGATACAACGATGCATTATATAGCAGTTAATATTTTGCCAATGTTACATTTAGGCTCAGGAAGAGAACATAACTGTACGATTTGAATCGCGACCCCCTAAACATGACAATGCGTTGAATCTCTAGGGGGATGATTTGTTACAACGCAAGTAGGAGTTCATTGCAATCGTCGAATCGACGCACCGTTACGCCCCTAACAAGCTGCCCGACACAACGTGACACGCGTCGCCTCTCCTCCACCTCCTCCCGCACGCAGAGTTCGCCGTCGAGATCACGCGCCCCCCCGCGGACGTGGAGGCGTGGGAGGGCGAAGCGGCGCGCTTCTCGTGCGAGCTGTCGCGCGCCGACGTGGAGGACGCCGGCTGGTGGCTCGGGGAGCAGCCGCTCGGCAGCAACGAGATCAACGAGGTGGCGGCGAGCGGCGCGACGCACGCCCTGCTGCTGCGCAACCTCGCGCCCCACGACAGCGGCCTCGTCACCTTTCGCGCCGCGCGGGCCCAAGCAGTGGCCCGCCTCGTCGTGAAGCGTGAGCACCGGCGCCAGTTGCATAAACTTCGTCGCGTGAAATCTTCGGTTCGCAAGTCAACTAAAGATCTTTTTATTTTTTTTGCAATAAGTTACGTGAACCTATTACATATAACGTATACAAATGAAAAGCATAGATTCCTAGACAATTTGACACATGTGTTGTGAGCTTAACGATCGATATTAACTCCATGCCTGGTGGGATCTCAAATGAAATCCATACACCTTCCCCGGGCAACTGGTCTTGCCACAGCTCACCACCGATGCGTTACTGTTTACCCTTTGCTCGAGAGCTGCTTCTTGGGGCACGCACAAGAAATTGTTTTACGTGCATTAATGTATGTTGAACTTCTTTCGCACCGTACGTTGCCAACCGTGCCAATCGGAGGCACGTCCTAAGGGACCGCATCGGTAGCGCTTTATTTATTTATTTGAAGTGCCGACCAAAATCACCTGAGCGCCACGGGCTCCGCCAGATAACCGATCGCCGTTTGCCGCGCCCAGGACTGCCGCTGCGCGTGGCCACGCCGCTGTCCGCGGTGGTGGTGGAGGAGCGCTCGACGGCCAGCCTGGTGTGCGAGCTGTCGCGGCCCGCCGAGCCGGCCGACCGCCTCGCGTGGACCAAGGACGGCGTGGCGCTGGAGGCCGGCGGGAGGATCGCCGTGGAGCACGACGGGGCCCGCGTCCGCCTCACGGTGCGCGACGTCACGCTGGATGACGGCGGCGTCTACGCGTGCCACGCCGGCGTGGACGCCGGCACGTCCACTGTCCTCGGGGTGACGGGTACGTGAGGGACGGCGCGTTGCGGGGCGGGGAATCCACGGCCTGCGGAACAGAGGTGGCCCTCAGCTTCATCTCATTTGGCCTGTGGCCACATAAGGCTCACCGCTTCGAAACGGCCCACAAATGATAATTACCCCTCACTGCAAGCATCTTGGCCGCACTAATCGGGTACTGGAGGGCACTGTTTTTCGACCTGACAGCATCACCGTGTTTCTAACATTGGCGCCGCTCTGTCACTTCGGTCCCTGCAAGTGTCCCCTTGTGCCCAGTCGAGCATAACCTGATACTTCACAAGCTACAACGCCCTGACATGCGTTCCAGGAGAGTTACATTCTCATGACACACAACGTCATGAGCAAACCAAACTGCATCATCGTTGTGGAGAAATAATTTGACGAACGATAAACCTGCCAAACTTCTCGTGTGCAGCCTGGCACACGGAGATGGTGCGGCCGCTCGCGGACCAGGCGGTGGCGCGGGGCGGTGAGGCGCGCTTCACCGTCGAGCTGAGCCAGGCGGTACCGCCCTCGGACGTCCACTGGTACCTGAACGGCGAGGAGATCGCCACCGCCGTGGCGGGAGGAGCGGGCGAGGGCACGGCCGAGTGGGAGACGGAGCAGGAAGGCGCCACCTGCTCGCTCGTCCTGCGCCGCGCCCACCGGCGGCACGGCGGAGACGTGGAGTGCGTCGTCCGCGACGTCGCCTGCGCCGCTCGGCTCGCCGTGCACGGTACGGACCGCCGACGCGCGGCCGAGATTCCACGCTCGAGATATCCCGCCGCCTCCGGTAACCGATTTGCGCCGCGTCCGATTCTCCTCCTGCCGGTGCTGACGGGGGATCCTCCCTCCCCCCCCGTGCCTCCGTGCGTGCGATCAGAGGAAGAGGGGCGCGGCGACCACGGGCGGCCCGGGGGGCCCCCGGAGTCGGACGGGGAGGCCCGGCCGCGGCAGCCGTGGGATGCGGCGAGCCGGAGGCGGCGCATGAGCTGCGAGCCCACGCTCGGCTCCATCCACGAGGAGGCCGAGGAGGCCGAGGGCGCCGAGGCGGAGGCGTCCACACTGGACCGAGCGGCCACCAAGATCCAGGTCCTCCCTCACGCTGGCGCGAGATTCTGGCTGCGCGTTTCATGCTGTCCGGGTGGACGCCATTTTTGTACCTCTGAGTAGTCACCCCGCCCCTCCTCCTCCTCGTGTCTTTCCCTCACTCGTGGTTCCGTTTGGCCTCCTCCAGGCTGCCTTTCGCGGATTCAAGACGCGCAAGGAGCTGGAGCGGGAAGCACACCCTCCGCTGCAGCCCACTCAGAGCAGCCTACGCAGCTTCCTCATCCGGCAGTCGGCGGAGGAGGAATCGTTTGACGGAGATGAGGTGCAGGGTGCAGGCTTTGACGATGTAGATCGTGGTTACAACACGTGGGGAACGCGACCTTCTGGTCATGATGCCTGGGTTTCATTGTCGTCATCATGATACGTATCCCTCGGTAAGGTTTCTGTAAATTAGAGGCATCCAGATATCGAACCCATTAATTTACGTTATGTGATTGGAGATGCATTCCTATGGAAAAAAGATATAATTCGGCTCCAAGACATAATCATTAAATCAGACTTAAGAATGCACATGTAATGGTAAATCGTAATTTTATGATAAAACATGAATATTCAAAGTCAGTCGCAAGAAAATATATACTGTACATTACTTAGCGAGAAACTGTGGTCAAATGTGCACGAGGACACGTCCCTGTGTCCTCCGTTAGGGGTGGGTCTCAGGCTTCACTTCTGCTCTGTGCCACGGTGATCAGGAAAGGCCCGGCATGACTTTTCAAGAACAACAAACACCGCAACCCATGAACACAAATCGTGTCGTTCGTGAGGCAAGGCCCTCGAGCTCTGGCGTCATCGCCGACCTCGTCACCTCATGGCGGCTTCTCTTGACCCCCCGTTCCTCGTCAGGCGACCGCCGCAGCCCCCGAGCCTCAGCGAGGAGGTCCGGCGCAGCGGCCGGCGCCGGCGGAGCAGACGTTCTGGGAGGACAGCGACCACATCTACATCTCGTTCTGTGACGCGGCCGAAGCGCAGTCGGCGGCCGACAGCTTCCGCCGGCTCTTCGCGCTGCAGGTGCGAGGGTCGCGAGGGTCACGAGGGTCGCAGGGGTCACGAAGGTCGCGGGGGTCACAAAGGTCGCGAAGGTCGCGAGGGTCGCGGGGGTTGTGGGGGTCGTGGGGGTCACAAGGGCGATTATATTATTTTCAATTATCGATTTCGATTTTCAGCAATTATAATCGCTGAAACAGAACCGCTGCAGATGCACTTCTGCGGCAATTTGGAACGCTCTTCCTTCCGATATTAGGAAGCCACTCGAAGCTATGCACTTTTAAATTATCGAGATTGAAAACGAATTTCTTCAGCTTTTGCGCATAGTTTGTTGTCCTTCCCCCCGCACCTCCGATCAGCACGGTTGGCTGCGTACGGCGCTAAAGAAATTCAGCGTACGTACGTTCCGGCTGTATCCACCGCCGCCCTGCGCCGTGAGTGCCCGGAGAGGGAAGTGCGACGACCCCGGCTCGGGTTTGCGTCTCCGCAGGGGCAGCCGGTGGAGGTTCTGCTGCTGGAGGACGCCGCGGAGAGCGGACGAGCGGCCGTCGTGCGCGTCAAGAAGCTCCACGCGGCGGCGGCGGCGCCGCTTGCGGAGGAGGAGTCGGGCCGGAGCGGTGAGGCCACTTCCCCTCCCGCCACGCGGTTTTCTCGCAACGCCGCGACGCTCGCGCTCTCCGTGCCTTCGCGCCGGTTTGGTTGTCTCTGGCTCTGCTGACGTACGCGGGCGCCGTGTAGTACCTATTATAAGCATTCAGGATTTTTCTCCCAGACTTTTACTCGTATGTGTAATCCGCTCCCCGTCCCGTGCCCTTGCCGCAGCGCCGCGGTTCGTGCAGCACCTGCTGGGGCTCACGGTGGAGGAGGGGTACCCGGCGTCCTTCGACTGCGTGGTGACGGGCTCGCCCGCGCCCTCCGTCGCCTGGTACAAGGGAAATCTGCAACTTCGAGAGGACGACCGCCACATGATCAACGATGGCGACGATGGCAGCCAGCAGCTGGTGCTCACCACGACCGGCGCCGGGGACGCCGGCGTTTACCGCTGCGTGGCGGAGAATGAGGCCGGCGTGGCGTCGAGCCACGCCGAGCTCCTCGTCGTCGACGGTGAGACGGCACGGGCCGAGGAGAGCAGGGGGCGGCCGCTGCTTCCGTCACGCGACGGCGCCCGTTTCAATGTCAGGAAAGGGTCGTGCGATTTGTGCATTCCAAGTATGTTTATTTTTTTATGTATAAATGATGTGTTACCGTTGGCGGTCAATGTTAGATACGAGAACGTGACTGTTGTTGCGTATTTTTAGGAACGAGGTTAGTTTCGTGAGTTATTTAACTCATTCAAGAATTATGGGGTGGATATTAATCCCGAGCCAGAGTTTACAGGAAGTTCACCGTCATGCTGCCAAAACAGAATCTAACTTCAGAGGGGACTTGTCTTCCTCATCCCGGAGGTGAACCCCCGAATGGGATGTGAGTCCTTTTCACATGCATGAAATTACAGCCGCACCGAGCTCCGTGTACGCCTCGATCTGCTAACGATCTTTCACTCGCCATATATTGTTTACAACCCGTGCTCTACACTATTGAGAAAGGATAACGCACTGAGAGTAACTATCGCGGTGCCCGTGGCACGGTGGACTTGACGTCAACCGTCCGTGCGCTTGCTGCGTTTGTGCACGAAACTAAAATAACAGAGTTAAATTTGTCATCTATGTGACTCGTGAGGATTGGATGTCAGCCTGCACCCGTGGGGCTCCACACGCACCACGTCCAGAGCTCATTCCGCGAACCCGTAGCCCACGAGCGATGCTACCCTGCGCCTGCGTGTGCACGTTTGTGTTGGTCTGCATCGCGTCTAGCTTTACAGTATTTATATTAATAATCCTTGCTTTTATCGTCACAGTGTTGAGCCCCGACTGCGACACGCGGAAAGCAGCTGTTCCCAGGTGAGAGCCACACCCCGCACATAGACGCCGCATTCATCCGCGCACGGCCGGGATCGCCGAAGCGAGCGCGCGGTGCCACACCTCTGATGTCCACGCACGCGGCGCTCGTGAACTCAGGGCCCAGGCTGAGGATGCGGTGGAGACGCCGGCCCCGGAGGAGCCCCCCGAGTTCACGCACGAGCTGCACGACCTCCAAGTGGCGGCCGGGGCAGAGAGCACGCTGCTGTCCGTTGGGGTCAAAGGTGACTCCACACGATCTACAAGGCGATACCATGCAATTCTAATTCGTAGAGAGGCTGTATGTGATCGCAAGTCTCTGTGCAAGGAGAGAGACAAGTGCATTGTGAGACCGTGGGAAAGCAGAGAGATTTATTTTTCGATTTAAAGCTTTCGTGACTGCAGGGATTCATCTTCTTGGTTCTTTCGGTAAAGTCACGTAGAAGGGAAGTAATAAAATAATAAAAATAAAACATAATCAAATAAAATAATTCTCACGACGTTTCGGCTACAACGCAAGCAGCCGTTTTCAGCTGAAGACGGCTGCTTGCGTTGTAGCCGAAACGTGACTTTACCGAAAGAACCAAGAAGAAGATTTATTTTTAGCGCGAAGAGGAGGAGGGAGAGGAGGGATCCAGGGAAGAGGACTTGTGAACTGAATTCGTAAAAAAAAGAAACATTCAGTGATAGCCGGAGGGTCTTATGTCTGGACTCAAACAAATGGATGGACTTTTTTTTATCAGACAATGTATTACTAAATATTACCTTTTATGTAATTCCGTCTGACAGTTGCCGGCCATTAAATGAATTTATATTTCTATCCAAAGTGCATTTTATTGTATTCCTTTGCTGTGAAACTCAGGATGCGTGTGCCTGTGGAGGAAGTGTTTGTGATGAGAGCGCTTTCGCCTACAATACAAAGGCCTGAATGCAGCACGCCGATGAGAGATGAACCGGTCAAACGTCCCAGTGAAGCACCCTCCTTAAAAAGGAAGCTTAGTGAGACATCTTAGAAGAGTCACTCAAAGTATGCCTCGTATTTTAGAGGCATAATTAATTTACCGTTATTTGCCCGTTAAAAATCATCGTCCTGATTGTCATGGGTTGAGATGTGATTTGAAGTCCTCTGAGCGCTCTATATCAACAAATCATTATTGTCAGCCATAATCGATCCACAGCTGGATGTAGGCCTCCACAAGCTATCACCATCACTCACAATCCTGCAGGATATTTAAGAGCAGACTGCCATCTGTGGAGCTCCCACATGCCGCGGTGAATCAGCAGTGGCGGCAGTGGCGGTGTCAGCAGTGTCAGCAGCGGCAGTAGCGGCGGTAGTGGTGGCGCCGGCTCGCACGAGCGAGCACAGCGAGACGGTTACGTGTCCCGTCCGCAGGCTCGCCGGCCCCGCGCGTCTACTGGTTCAAGGACGGGCAGCCGCTGCCGGGCTCCGAGCGGCTGCAGCTGCGCAGCGATGGGGAGCAACACACGCTCGCCATCGCCCTCCCGACGGCGGACGACGGCGGAGAGTACACCGTCTGTGCCAGCAACCCCGCCGGATGCATCTACACGTCGGCGCTCCTCGTGCTGCAAGGTTCTGAGGCGCGCCACCTGCGCGGCGGGCCTGACTAGGCCGTAGTTTCTGTCACTGTGGTCTCTGTATGTCCGCCTGTGTGTCAGCGAGCACACTTGTCTGTTTACCGGTCTGCCTTTGTGCGTGTCTGTAGGTGAGCAAAAGAAGTTGACACCGCCGCGGTTCGTGGAGAGATTCAGCAACAAGCGTGTGCCGCGTGGAGACAGCGTGACGCTGGCCATCACGTTAGAGGGTGAGATGAGCGCCAGCCAATCCCACTTCGCCGCTCACGCCGATCAACACGCGCATCCGCCTGACTTTAACAAATTGCTTTCTCTGCGCAAGAATCGCACTGATGTAGTTTTTATGACAACGATGTACATTTATATATTTAAAATAATAACATTTACATATGTATGTTGAACTTAATTTCGCACCGTACGTAGAAGTTGTTCATATTCATCCTCAACCGCTGCTGGATGAAGGCCTCCCCATGCCATCACCATCTCCCACGGTCCTGCGATGTAGGCATCGTGGAATCATTACTACCGTATTAAAGTTATTTATATTATTATAATTATAATTAACAATCAGGGTAATAACTGTGTGGCTCTGATGCCAACACTGCTGCAGTTCACGCACATAGGCCGAGTGAGCGCGCGTCACGTGAAGTAACGATGCCCTCGCGTACGCATTGTGCGATCGTGGTGCGCGTCGTGCGATCGTCGTGCTGTGCGAGCAGGCTCCCCAACGCCCGATGTCACGTGGCTCAAGGAGGACTCTGCGGAGGACGTGACGTGGATCAAGGAGACGAGCGAAGGGTTCCGCCTGGAGAGCGCGGGCGCCCGCCACAGCCTCACCCTGGAGGCGGTGGCGCCGCAGCACGCCGGCCACTACACCGTCATCGCCACCAACCCCGTGGGGCAGGCCATCTGCACGGCCTACGTGGACGTCCGGCGGCGTGAGTCCGCTTGCTTCCTCTCCTCCAGCCGCCACCACCGCCACTACCGTCGCCATCGCCACCACCGTCACCACCACCGCCACCACCGCCACTACCGTCGCTATCGCCACCACCGTCACCACCACCGCCACCATCGTCACCACCATCGTTACGACCACCAACGTCATCACCGTCACCACCACTGCCACCGTAACCACCACTACTGTCACCACCACCGCCACCACCGCCGCCACCGCCGCCACCACCCCCACCACTGTCACCACCACTACTTCCACCACCACCGCCGTCAATGTCACTGCCACCGCCAACGTCACCAACAGCCACAAGCGGCGCTCATTGCACTCAAGGCCACTCCTCCCATGCTGTTCCAGCACGTGAAGCCGAAGGGGAGAGCGAAGATCTGGCAACATCCCAGGAGGAAAGACTCAGCTCCTACCTGCATAGGTGAAGGTTCAGCACCAACGTATAAATACATGCGTGCGTGCGTGCGTGAACCAACATACTTATAAAACCAATATATATGCAGGTTAATATAGATGTATACATATAATGGGCAGGTTTCTTAAATACCCCTGCCTCTATCCATGATGTTTGCTTTCTTCTCCATTTAAAAAAGAAATGTCATGCACTGTGTTGACATATGGGGCATGATAAACAACCTTGTGTCGTTCTTTCAGCCTGCCGGAAGACATCGCCACAGAGCACGCGGAAGGAGAGAAAAGGTATTGAGTTACATGCCTCAACAACTGAACGTCTGCTGCTATCGGAACATTTCGTCTTTTATGAACACGTCCAAGCGCAGAATACGTGACGGGGGTGTTTACTCCATCTTGCCCGCCCCTGTTTTCCCCAGGCCGTTCTTCGAGGACATTTCGGTGCAGCCGCCAGAGCCTGAACACGACTACCGTGAGGAGCCGACAGCCGGGCCCCAGCTTTGGCCCACGACACGACCCTGTTTCACGACGTCACGGAGTCAACTGCGGTTGCCGATTCTGGAATTACTGAACCCGTTTCCTGGGCGCTGAGAAACCCGGGGAATTCTACCTTTGGGTTGAAATTGCAGCACTTGGCCGCGGCGCGAGGGTTTGACCTCCGAGTTGGAGGCCTCGCACTTTCGAACCCGAGCAGCGCAGCACGGTCCGTTATCTCCGCCGCTCTGATCCGCACGGTGCATAATAATTAAATTTGTATCTGAATTAAGAGAGCTCACGGGATGCTGCCGTGCATGCGTAAGGGTGAGGTCATCGGATTTGCAACCCAAAACAATTGGCAAGTTTGTCAAATCCTCTGTGCACCCATCAGTATAAACGGCGACACCCTGGGTTAGTCCATCGACAGGTGACGTGCGGTGGGGTGGAGTGTGGATACTGCCACCCCTCCCAAGACATTTGGCCAGCGTGGAAGAATAGGCCTAACACTCTATAAAGGGACTCTAAAGGGAGCCCTTTTAAATGGAGGTCCTTCCGCCAGCATTGGCATGAGCAAGAAATTGCTGGGCTGCGCCTTTACCTTTCTAGCAATCTTGGCAAGGTATGAATGTATGTTCAACTTCGTTCGCACCGTACGTAGCCAACCATGCTAATCGGAGGTGCCAGTCATGAGCCGGCCCCATGGGCTGGCAATAACTGGGGGACCCCTGACCTGGCGACACAAATTTGAATTTGAATATCCACCGAGTGTCCACTCTGCCAACTAACCTTGCACTTTGCTCCGCAGTCCTGGAGGCGGACGGCACGCTGAGCCGGGACGAGCTACCCGTGCCCGAGAGGGACGGGCGCGAGTCGCGCGGCAGCACCGTGTCGCTCACCGAGGAGCTCATCCACCGGCTCACGGCACAGATCTCCGACATGGTCTGCACGCGCTTCTCCAAAGGTTGGACGGCCGCTCCATCTGACAACCACAAAGATCCCCCCCCCCTGCGCCCCCTGTGTGTGGCCTGCACGCACTATTGGGGACAAGGCGGCGGGGCCCGGCACCGGCGATAACCACGAGGCCCAGGGACCGCCGGGACAGCTGGGGCGGCACCAGTGGGGAGTGGGGGCCTTCACCACGGAGTCCCAGATCCCACAACAAATGTTCCCGTGTAGCCCACATAGAATGTCGGGGCAAGTGCTGTTAGTAAGCACTTTTTAAGTCTTGAACAGTGCACGAAGAGGTGATCTGGCCAGCACTGTGCCTGGTCACCTTTGTCTCCCAAGCGCCGATGTTTACACACCATGTGCCAGGAGCTCATTTAAGGCTGAGTTGATGTATGGAAGGCCTGAAAACGGTTCCGACATTCACCTTGGCCAAGCATAGATCCCTGGTTTTGTGGCGCTTTACTCCTTCCCATTCCAATGACATTCGTGTACGTTTTCAGTTTTTCTTCCGGATCCATTCCAATGACGTACGTGTAAAATAAAATATCGGTACCGAGGCTCCCACAAGGCCATGCGGGAGGGCTTGTGGCACAGTTTGGCGCCAGCTAAACCGTAAAGTGCGGTCGTGTCGCTCGTTCTCTGCGGTGAGTACAATGTGCTTAAAAAAAAACAGCGCCATGCCTCTCTTAAATAAAATTAAAGCTCAACCTCTTGCGCGTTCTGAAATTCAGCGGTGAAGGGGACCCCACCCTGCAACTTGCAGACGTCTCGGAACGCGAAAGGGTTCACTGCCGCACACACCGGTGCTGCTGTGTTCTTACCAAAGCAGAACAATTCCCTTTTCAAGCAAACGTGAGCAAAGCAGTTCACTAATCGCTATGGAGCAGACGTATTTATAGGCTCACGGAATGATAGGTCCTGGTGCACCACCTGTTTTGCGGTACGTTATCGCACTGCCACCAATGTTCAGGCCAAGCCAAATCCAAACTTAGCCGAGTACTGCGTGCCGGCCCCCCTCGTGCCCCCCCCCCCGCCCGTGCCCCCGTCCCCCCGCTTGCCACGAGCAGTGTCGCTGCGCGTCCCTGGCGGCGAAGGCAGCGATGACGATCAGCGAACTCCGCTGACGACGCCGCGCCGCGGACGCTCGCGTCCCACCTCCGGCATCCTGGAGTCGCCCATCGAGTCGGACGAGGGCGACGCGGCCATGGAGGTACCATGCCTCCCACCCCCTCCCCCCACACTCCCCCCCCCCCGTCCCCCAGCAGCGTCGGTGCTTGCTCCACGACGCTTCCTCTTGGGGTTTATTTCCGATGTAGGAAAACCGGACTAACTTGGAAATTGTGCGCTGACATCGTCATCATCACAATCTTCAGCCGTGCTGGACGAAGGCCTCCCCGAGCCGTGGCTCCAAAGCTCACAGTCCTGCGATGCAACGTCCCCGACGTTGGCCGCCACGCCGTGGTTATTCTCTCGCCCCGACCGCCGCGGCGACGCGTTCTGCCCAAGCCCACTTTTCTCTACTGGTCAAAATTACCTCTCTCGGACGCACATGCTGTTCTCTTACTCCACGTGTTCTTTTTGAATGTGCGCGTCGTTTGTTTTGTCCGTTACCAAACACCACGCGTGACGTTCGGAGTGCAATCGCGCCCGCTACTCTGTGCGACGTTCTGCAGCCACGCTGTTGCATGCAACGCTCGCGTGGCTCGACGCAAAATTATATCTGCGCCCTTTAATGCGGCGGTTTTCCTGAAATAAAACAGGGGCGGAGTGTCACGGCTCTCCCACCTCGCGGACAAAGCTGCTGGCGGGGCGAGTGGCCGCGAGGCGACACTGCCAGAGGATTCCTTCCTCCCGCATCTGTTAGCCCCGTGACGGCTCGTCCGGCTGGCGATTTGATGATTCGTCACGACTCGGGCTTGAATTATCATTAAAGAAGCGATGGTTATTTTTACATCACGTAAACCAGTGGGTATCCAGCACATATGAATCATAATACCCTGTCCCTACATGCATTTGAATCGGTGAATCGATGCGATGTTACGCACGTCGAATTTAGCCGCCGAATCCCCATCGTGGAGTTTCAACATCAGCTAGGATCGATCCACTGCTGGACGAAGGCCTCACCAGGCCGTCGCCATGCAACAATCCATCCAGGTCCAATGGACGATCTGATTTCATCGTTCCATCTCCACGGTAGTGATCTCCAGTGGGCTTTCTCCTTTGGCTGCTGTTTGGTTGTTAATCTTGACAGTCGGCCGTCAATCCCTTCTAGCCTCGTGTGCGGTTCAAGGCCATTTAGTTTTCTTACAGTCCAATCGACGGCTCTCAGATGCATGTTCGCGTTGTAGAGCACGTTCATTGGCACGATGTCCGACGTTTCGCTACAGATGCTAGGAGCTTCTTCAAAAAATTACGTCCATATGTTCTCAAAGCCTTCTCATTAGAATAAACTAAGTCCAGCACCTCCGATTAGCACGGTCGGCTACGTACGGTGCTAAATAAGTTGAACCTACGTACACACATACACACACACACACGTCGTCCTCTGTCCACTCTGCCCCAGGGCATGGATGAGTTTGTCGCGACCTCGGACGTCGCCCCGAGTGGCGACGAGCCCGAGTGGGTGCCGCTGCGCAGGGGGCAGCTCGTGGAGGTCCTGGACTGCGCTCACCCCCTGCGCTGGCTCGTGAGGACCAGGCCCAGCGTCACGCAAGACTTCCGCCAGGGCTGGGCCTCGTCGGCCTTCCTGGAGAAGCGTTCCGCCGGTGAGACGCCCGCACTGGCAACCCCCCCCCCCCCCCCAAATTTTTTTATATCGACTCTGTATATATATATATATTTTAATGTTGTATGTATATGTATTTGTGTATGTTGAACTTATTTTGCACCGTACGTAGCCAACTGCACTAATCAGGAGGTGCTGGGGGAAAGACAACAAACTTAACACAAAAAGTTCTAAGAGAAATTAGTTTTCAATCTAGTGCATTGCTCCAGTGGCTTCCTGATATCGGAAGGTTTCCTAATATCGGAGCTGGACAGCTTCATATTGAAGACCGAGGTCAAGGGGTCACCATGGCCAAAGCCGTCGATGCCACCACGGCCAGTGCACCACGCCAACGCTCTCTCCCCTGCGCCAGAGCCCGCAGCTGCTGCAATCTGCAGCAGCTACCTCCAAGATGTGCCCTGAGAGTTGAGCTTCATGACAGGACCAAACCCAATACTGTAGCACTAGCATAAACCCCGACGCTCATTCGAGCACATTTAAGACCACAGCATCACTGCGTTCATTACTACCAGTTATGTGCTGACATTAAAGGGTTTCCTTCATTTTAACTTTGATGTAGCTTTATAAACCGTACGTCGCATTTAAAACCCAGGATCTGAAATAACCGAGAGGAATGACGATGGAGAGTTTGGCGTGAGGCATGGGTAGTGGTGGTTGTGGTGGACCAGCCAAGGCGAGAAACTGAATAAAGAAAAAGTGCCCCCCCCTCCGCCCCCCCCCCACTCCCACCCCCCCCCCCCAAAACGATAACATCCCTGGGCCCCCCTCAAACTTAATCCAGCCGGACATGGGAGAGCATCGCAGATAGAGATATTAAAATAATTCGCTGACTCACAAAGGCGCTTGCTGTGTTAAGCCATTAGAACATAAATATGAGGCCTCGAAATAGGGCTTAAGCTAAATTGAGTTTGGTGCACGTTGCTGCATTCATCTTCAACTATGCCACGGCAACTTTTGAGGTTTTACCAGCCGCTATGTGTAAAAGCACAAAGTCAATTTGAAACACTCGCGTTTGCGTGTTCTTTGAATTTAAGTGTGAACGTATGAATGTACGTTGAACTTCTTTCGCGCCGTACATAGCCAACCGTGCTAATCAGAGGTGCGGGAGGAAAGACAAGAAACTAAAACACACCTAAAGCACTTCTAAATAAATGAGTTTTCAGGAATAAATGAGTTGAATACCAACACACTTTGTTTCCCCCAGGATTTCCCTATGGATGCACAACGGCAGAGAGAAGATGAATCGCTGAAGGCGTTGTCACCAGAAGAGGACCAGAGGCACTTTCAGTATGTTTTTAAACTTTAAAAGGCCACTGCTTTGTGCATTCCCCACTCCCAAACTCACACTCACATGTAGACATACCTGTCAACCCATACGGTTTACCCCGGATTTTTGTGCAGGGAAATTTAATCTCCAGGTCCATACGGCGTTCAGCCGTTTCAATACGGAGCTAAAACAAATTGCCTATTTGTTTGTGTTTCTCCCTTGTGATGGGACTTTGTAGGATGAACGTTGAGATTTATAAGGGCCACGGGGTGACCAATACGGTCTGAATTGGTCTGTAATAAGCTAGGGCACTGATAAGGGGTTGACAGGTTTGTGTATATACTCTTGTTTTGTCAAATAATTTGTTAACAGAAAACATTTCCACAAAAAGCGCGATCCCATAATATACTGCGGCGAAAAAGAAATAAATCATACGACAACAGAACAAACAAGTTAGGTTAGAGCCTAGATTGTCACGTTTGACTGGATGTCTACGATATGAATACACCTGATAATTTTACCACGAGAAGTGCACTTCCAAATGCCAATGTAGCATACATCCAACCCACTCCAATCTCGATTCCACCTAGAGATGGAAATGACCCTGTAAGACCAACGTGCAAACGTAGCCACGTTCGCAAAGGTGAGCTTGCGGCACGCAAACAAAAAATCCTGCTCCCGAAGCCGCTTCCTGTAGCAGGCTTTCCGTGCGACAGGGCACTGCTGGGCGAGCTGGTGGCGTCGGAGGAGGCGTTCGTGCGCGACCTGGAGTTTGTGACGTCGCACCACGCGCGCCACGTGGAGACGGCGCCCGGCCTCGTCGACTCGCAGAGAGACGTCATCTTCCGCAACCTGCCGGACCTGATGCACTTCCACAGCCGGTGAGGGCATCCCGCGGCCACGCTCGCCCGCACGGTGACTCTCTAACGCAGGGGGCGGGGGAAACCATTTCCCTACTCGGGGCCAAATAAGATTTTCAGTACCTTTGGCACCAATCACAGCGTTAATGCGCATATGTGTGTTACCCAATAACAACTCAGAAAATAAAATAATGCGCACGCGTCGTCCGCTGAGCTTAAAGAGCCCCTTGCGGCTGACAATAAGTGACTGAGCGGCGCTAACGTTAGACTCAGAGCGGCGTTGCCAGGGTGAATATATTCCCCTCTAGTGCTCGGTTGGTGCCGTGAAGATGTCGCGATGTCGGCTAAGTATCACATGGCCGTGGCCGTTGTGAAATGAATTCGTGGGCCGTATCCGTAGGCTCGCTCCTCCCAACCCCGTTCTCATTATTCGACGCGGGGATGGTAACCACCACTGTCTGCCTGCCCCTCGGCCTCCTCCTCCTCCTCTCCTCCCCCTCCCGTGCTGCCCGCATCGTCGCTGGCCAGGGTGCTGCTTCCACGCCTGCGCTCGTGCCAGGACGACGCAGGACGTGGCACGTGCCGTGCTGCAGAGCCGCCACGAGTTTGACCGCCACGTGCAGTTCCTGTACGGAAAGCCCAGGGCTGATGTGCTGCTCATGAGCGGCCCCACACAGGCTGCATTCGAGGTGAGGGACACGTGACGATCCATCCGCAGGACCACCAAACCCCGACGGAAATACAATAAATTGTCACGATCCAAGAATCAATTACTCTTTTAGTCTCGTTTGGTACGATATCGTTTGTGTCATCTGTTTTGTTTTGTTCTATTTGATACATTCTGTCTCGTTTGCTGCGTCTCATTTGTTGTTTTGCAATAAAATACATTCACATACATTTGCGTATTATTTAGATTTAAAAAACCGAATTTACAACTGAGTCTATCTCACATCGCGCGATGCATCTCATTCTGAGCGTACGGATCAATCGATTAATCGTTTTAAATCCTCCCGGGAGACTCGGGCCTTGAATCGGTCAAACTGTGCTCATCCTCGTTTTGACTGGCGTGTGCAGTTGATCGTTTTACGAGGCACGAGGTAAAGTTTCAGAATCGTGTACGGTTGCCTGCTGGCTTGCGATGACACGGATGATGCGGTGCAAATTTATCCTTGAGCGATAATTCTTAACTTCCAAATAACGTAGCTGGAAAGGAAGTGTGCGCAGGCTACTGCAGTGCATCATCGTGTCTGGATAACTGTGCGCTTGTAAATTGTGAAACGCCGACGATAACATTTGAAATACAAAGAGCGTACGTTCATACCTTTCCGGCGTCGAATCCTCTCATTATTTAAGTCCATCCACAGATTTGGAGAAGGGAGGCTCGTTTTATAATTATCAAACACAAGCGGGAGCAGAGCGACGCTGCGTGTGCCACGGTAGCAACGTTGCCGACAGCGTTCGCTTTGAACCCCCGCTCAGAGTTGACGAGTGCCCTTTCGATCGCTTATTAAACAACAAAAAAACACCCAAGTGATGTCGTCGGCGCTTTGTGCGCGACCGACTGCCCCCTCGCAGAGGTACGAGGAGGCCCTGCAGGAGGGGCCGAGCCCGGCGCGGCCGCTCCGCTCCGTGCAGGAGTACCTGGACCTGCCGCTGGGCCAGCTCGGGGCCTACCAGTCATCGCTCAGGGTGAGGGGGAGAGCAGCACGGCCCTCCGTCTGTGCCCGTGGGATGCACCAGGGAGGCATGTGCTGCCGGTGGGTCGTGGGTGACCACAATACGTGGAGTAAAAATAAGAATCAAAGTGATTTCCTGCTCAAATGAGCAATGATAGTTGTGCTCATCGCCTTTAAGAGCCCTGAGCCGGTAGAGGAAGCGTTGCCTGTCCCTACGCTGGGGGCGAAGAGCCATCCACAAAATGTTCCACCTCTGGCAAGCACGCACACGCACGGGTCAACACACGCAGCACACACGCACACAGATCAACACACACACACGCGCTCACGTATTCACAGTACACGCACAGATTGGATTATTTTTTTAGAAAAAAACACGACAGCGTCCCCCTTTGCTACCACCACAATGTACGTGGAAAACCCTATAACGTATGACAAGCGGAGGAGGTCACGTGACGCCCATGTGCCACAGGAGCTGATCAGGCGGAGAGCCGACCGGGGGGGCGACTGCGCGCAGCTCCAGGAGGCCTACGCGCTGGTGGCCGCGGTGCCGCGCCGTGCCGAGGACCAGATGCACCTTTCCATGATGGAGGGGGCGCCCAGCGACCTGCCGGACCTGGGGCCGCTCGTCCGGCAGGCACGTCGCCCACGCACAGCGACAGCGGGATGTCAAAATTGTGGAAACGTTTATTTGTTGATAAACCAACGTCATTATTGGTACGCTCGGGAGAAATTATACAGTTTAATGTTTGGATTTTAACCGGTGCGGCGTCACTGGCTAGCACACGACTTGAGTTCGATTCCTAGCCACGGCTAACATCAGTGGCGAGTGGTATCTGAACTGGGCTTGCGGCCTTGCCTCCCGCTTCCCACCACGCAACCCCCAGCCCTTTCGTCAACTCGCCCTGACCAGCGTGGAGAAGAATGGTCAAGCAACGCTCATCACCGACACAGGGCGAGGAGGCCGCCGTCGCACAGTGTTTTGACAAAGGTTGTAAATAATAATAATGAAGCGGGGAGGCAGAGCCGTCAGCGGGACCACGTGTAAGGGGTTAGGGGTTAGGGGGTGGCCAAGTCCAGAGTAACGTCCGCACGGTGCGTGCGCCGAGAAGCTTATGGGTGCCCTTTAGCATTGGTGCCTTAATGAGTGCCCTCAAGAAGGTCAGCTGAGCACGCTATTTTCAGCTGCACGCCCCAGCTTGAGGGACGTTTTACAAATTCCAGAAAGTCCTGAGTGACGTCTTAGAAGCCAGAGGTGTCGGGGCAACAGGTGGCTCTGCTGCGCTTCCCGTCGTGTTTGTTTATTGCGGGCCGGTCCGTGTCGCCGTGTGCACGCGGTCGCGCACATCTGTGTACGAGGCGCTCGCTAACAGCGTCCTTATCGCCCAACAGTCCCCGTGCAAGGCTATACGAGGCTTTTTGTCTTTGTGTGCGCGCGGTCGCGCCCGCAGGACACGTTTGTGGTGTGGGAGGGGCGGCCGAGCCCGCGCGCCTCCTGGAGGGGTCGAGTGCGACACCTCTTCCTCTTCCCCACGCGCCTGCTCATCTGCAAGCCGCAGCGCGGCAGCGGCACGGACTCCATCGTCTTCCTGTGCCGCCACAACCTGCCGGTGAGACGCCGCACGGCTCGCCGGCACGATGTGGGGGCCTGGGATCTACTTTGGCGCGATTTACAGTTGTGTGCTTTTTAATGACCGTGACCAAGTCCTCCGGAATGGTCCTGGTCTCGTCAAGACCTCGCAAGCTAAGCGTGTTGGAGCCTGGATAGTGCTTGGATGGGCGACCACCACCGTGCATAGACCAGGTGCTATAGGCTGCTGTGGGAATACGTTCAGCAAATCCATTCCTGTATTTACTATGATCCGACATCTGTCCTTTCCACCTTCACCAACCCACACTGACCACGCGCAGCACAGGGATGTACTCATCCAGCAGTGGATTTAGGGGCTGTACATGTCACTTGCTTTCAATGACCGTTAGTTACATCCGTTGTGGGCAGGACCCCCGTGACTTTATTCGTCTGCATCGTGACCGCTCTGTCAACGTCTCTTGCGTTGCGTTTGCCATCGATGACCCCCCCCCTCATCTCCCCCCCCCCCCCGCGGCCCACAGCTGAGCGATGTGGAGGTGAGCAGCGCGGCGGAGACGGACGAGCGGACTTTGGAGCTGTGGGACGAGCGCGAGAGCGGCCTCGAGAAGCTGACGCTGCGGGCCCGTAGCCCCGCGCAGAAGCAGGCCTGGCTGCTGGAGCTGCAGCACCTCCAGCGCGGAATCGAGCGGCACGTGCAGGAGACGCCGGAGGCCTGGAGTACGCATCGCACGCACGTGCCCCCACGCGCCACGCACGTGCCCCCATCGCACGCACGTGCCCCCATCGCACGCACGTGCTCGTGCCGGGGTCACGTGACACGGCCAAGCCACGGCGTTTATCGTACGCGAGAATCGTTCTGTCAGATTCCGCAAAAATATGTGTATCATCGTTGCTCCTTTTAATTTACAATTTATCAGATTTTTGTGACACCATATTAATTATACAACGGACATAATTACAGTTCTAAGCACAGTAATAATTGACCGCACAGCAGTTATAGGATGTCACTGTTTCCTGTGTAACTGATAGCACGTGCGTCACGACTGTTACAGTTGCAATAATTAAAAGGCTCAAGTAAATGGCAGCCAAAGAACATGTAAGCTAACCTCTGTTTGTACTGGTAGTACAACAAAGCACAAACAAACCACACTAAAGAGGCAATAGACATTAAAAAAGTGACGTGAAACTGATATCACAATCATCTTCACATCATAAAAACTAGCAACGTATCTTCCCGTAAACGATGACATCATTCCTTACAAACGACAAAGAGATCCATCTCTATGAAGCTGTCGTATAGATAGATAGGAAAATCCAGGCTGAGCTCTGGAAACGAAGGCCCTTAGAATGAACGAGCGACGCGCGAGAGTGAGCGACGCGTGTGAAGGAGCGACGCGTGACAACGAGCAACACGTGTCCTGTGTGGGTGACGTGCGCAGCGCCGCCCGAGTTCGTGGAGCCGCTATCGGACTGCACGGCGCGGGCGGGCGACATCGCCACCCTGCAGTGCCGCGTGTCGGGCTCGCCCAGACCGGTCATCACCTGGCACCGAGGTAACGCACAGCCCCAACAACTCCCGTCAACTCCTTGCCGCGCCTACTGCATCTCCTCCACATTGCTGAGCAACCGAGCGAGAGAGAGAGAGAACGAACGAGAGCGTATGCTGCTCACTGCCGGTCAAATCTCGTGACGTTTCACCCATTCGGAGGTGAAACGAGAATCAAGTGAACCGGCGTAGTGATCGAACGAGTCGTGTTGATGATACAGAGGGACCCTCCAAGTTGTTGCAGCCGTCGCTGACTGGCCACCTTGGCCCCCCACCCCTCACCGTGTGCATGAATGTGTGCGCGTGCGTGTGTGTGTGCGTACGTACGTGTGCGCGTGCGTGCACCGCACAGACGAGCGGCCACTGGAGATGGAGGACCGCCTCTCACTGAACGAGGACGAGCGGCGTGGCTGCCGGCTGCTCGTGATCCGCGTGTGTGCCTCCGACGCCGGTCACTACAGCTGCGTCGCCAACAGCCCCGCCGGCACGGCGCGCTCCACCGCCCGCCTGAACGTGCTCGGTGAGCCGGGAACGCCCACGCCCCTCGGTGACCAGCAGATTCAGAACGACGACAACCGCCGTTACCCACCAAAGTGGCGGTGACGTCGCCATGTAGCGCTTCGCCGGGCTGGGTGTACTTTGAGGCCACGTGAAGTGTGGAAAGGCTCGCTGGCAGATGAATCGCCCGACCTCAAATCGACGTCAGACCTCGATACGCCCTCATCCACACGCGCTCCGACCTACACGCTCCGACCCACGTGCACCCGAACACTTCCCAGGCCCACACTCCCATCGCTCCTGGATTCACGTACGCCAGACGCGCCGACGCGGTGTGTTGCGCGCGCTCGCTCACTCGCTATGACCGCGCCGTCTCTCCCTGCCGCTCCCTGCCGCCCTGACAGTGCCTCCCCGTTTCAAGACGCCGCTGAGCAGTGCTGCACTGGAGGAGGGCGAGGACGTCCGCTTTAGCTGCCAGGTCACGGGGGAGCCCTTCCCGCTCGCCAGGTGACTTGAATAGTTTCACCCGCTACGCTGAGATAACAGAATAGCAATGCTTCACCAATTGTGTGCACGAGACTGCATTCTGAAACGCACGAATCCGTAATTACGCCTCATCTAACTGCACTCAAGCATCTCGCCCTTCGGTAATGAGTGATGTCCGAAACCCGCTCCTTCGCCGACTCGTATTGAACCAGTGTGGTGAACTACGGTCACACAACTAGCGTGACTGGAACGGCATGGAAAGGCCTTAATTCAGCGGCGGATAAATTAATCTTCGTGTAAACATCGCCGCGGGGTGTGGGGGTTGGCGCGCAGGTGGTTCAAGGATGGCGAGGAGGTGTGCGGTGGTGACGAGCGGCTACGAACGCAGAGCGATGAGGAGCGCGGCCGCCTTAGCCTCACCGTGCAGCGGGCGAGCAAGGCCGACGCGGGCAAATACACCTGCCTGGTGAGCGACTGGCGGTGGCGTGCTCACCCACAGGAGTGCAATCTTTCCTTCGCCTTGCCAGAGTTCGTAAGCCGAGTTCGTAAGCCGAGGATTCAAGTGAGAGTATTTGTGCTCACGGCTCTCGCTCTGTCGTTTGTTGTTCTGCTCATCGCCGAGTGTCGGTGACGTTGACGGTGAAGCTCGTCCACTCTCTGTGATTCTTCGCTGTAGCGTCGACTGGCACAAGGACTTCCCAGTTACATTCACAATGCTGCCTGTCCATCTTTGTCGACCGTTTCCCTAGCCGATGACAAAGGTTGTGTTGAATGCTTTGTGGCTGTGGAATAGCAAGCGATGGTTCATTAAGGGTAGATGTCACCAATTGACACGTTCATTGTGGTTTTGTAAACGTTTGTGAGGTTGAAGACCAACACGAGCGCAGCATCAGCACGTCAAGCTTCGATACTGCAATTTTACATTTCTCCATCATTTATGGGACTCGATAACAATGTAGCTGCTGTGCCGTCTCCAACAGAGGGAACTGCTCAGGCCGAGTGGCTCGGCCACGTTCCCCGTTGCCGTTGGTCAGTGAGAACGAGCGAAGTGAACGAGGTTGTCGTCGTCGTGGTGGTGGTGGTGGTGATGGTGGTGTTCTCTCCGTTGCCCCCAGCTGGTGAACGCGGCGGGCGAGGCAAGGGACTCGGCGGAGCTGTACGTGCCCGTCCCCGTGCGGGCTGCCGGTGCCAGCCAGGCCGTGCTGGTGGAGGGTGAGGCCACCTCCCCCCCCTCCTCCCTCCCCGAAGGCTCCACGCACACGGGGGCCGCTCGCTGAGTGTTGAGCACGCGGCGTCATTGGGGCGTTCAGCGGCCACTTCCGAATCCCCACAGGAAGTGATGACCCCGAGTGTGTGGATTAGAAGCCACGCGAAGGGCTCTCAGAAGTAGTTCTGTGATACTCTCTGGTGCTTTCGGTAAAGTCGCGTAGATGAAGACGGCCGCTTGTGTTGCGACCGAAACGTCGTGTTTTGTTTTATTATTTTTTCTACCCACGTGACTTTACCGAAAGAACCAGAGAGTATGGATTCCTGCAGTCACGAAAGCTTCAAATCAAGATTAGTTCTGTGATATCTGCTTCTGCGGGCCATTCTCGAATGGAGAGTTCTGAATGGATTAATCGATTTGTGATACGGCAGCGAGAGCACAATCGGAATCACGCTGGGGAAGTCACAATTTTATTTTCACTCTCCTCTCCCTGCAAATCAATGGATTGTCACAATCGTTGATTCTCCTCGTCTCATTGTCCCCACGTCCTTTGTCGTCATTCCTATGTTATCAGATTACATGTAATTGGCAAATAATTTACAGAAATTGTAATCACGCGAACCAATACATAATTCGCAAGTAAAGTAATATTTTATGCATTGCTACCTGCTTCATAAACAGAAATGTGAAGTAGTAATTGGTTTTCTTAGATACTTCAGGTTCCTCTTTCTCAACAGAGGCATGAGTCAAACACCACAGGCAGGACTCTCCTAAAAAGGAAGTTTGAGACTCAGCGAAGGGAGACGTTTATACAGATTCTGTAGCTTCTAGCTCTTACTATTTACAGGATGCTTTAAAAAAATGGTAGCACTCCTTAGCATTTGCAACAACACCACGTGAAATGTGCCTCCGGGGCTCTGGAGACCACCGGGAGAAGATTCCAGGCATGTGTTGACAATGCTGGCTAACAAGTGGAAGCTATTAACAAACATCTGTTATCATGTTACAGTGTGTTATCCGTTATTTTTCCATTAAGAACGATAGTCCCATATATATGTTAACATTTTTTGAAGCACCCTGTATAATGAGTACTCAGTTTTGAAGACTCACTCTCAAAGATGGTATTTTACTAATTGTGCGCTCTTGTGAACAAATGGTAAATCGTGCCCTCTGCTGTTTTCCCACAGTAACCGAACAGGAGACCAGACTGCCCAAGAAGACGGTGATCATGTGAGTTGACTTACTTCTCGCAGTGGTGAACATTTCCCTTCGCAACACAAAGTTCGCATGCAATCACCGCTCGCGTTCGGGAGATTTGCTGATGGTATATTCAAAGGCACAGCACGTGGTGTCACTTGATTTGATCATGTAATTGGGTAGAATGCCACGACGTGCATTCTGACCACAAGTATTGAGGTTAATGCAGACATGATTCCTTGTAAAAGGTTTCAGTTTGGTGTTTTAACATCTCAACACCTGTTTTGTTGCCAGAAAAAAGGGGAAAACCTATTCTCATATTTCGTGACAGGCATTGGTTCGATTGCACGCTTGGGATTTCTCTGAACTTCCCGAACTGCACTCGCTGTGCCTCATGACTTGGGCAGGACACATTTCTCGAAGGGACGATGACACTGGCGATGGAATACAAAATACAACCACTGCCAGCACCGCTCGAGTCAGCTGTGTGTGTAGGAGCGAGCGACCGTGGCATCGCAAGGTCACGAGGGATGGCGACGTCACGGGGAGGCAATGTCTAACTTTGGCTGCGTGTCCCTGACTATCGGACAACTAGTTTTAAACTTGTTTAACAACTAAGACCTTAATTAACGAGTTATGATGGCCAGGCTCTGCGAGGCACCGCAGAACAATGTGTTGATGTCACCGGAGGGCTATCATGGCGCACCTGCCCCTGACTTTGTGTATTATTTTAAACAGAGCTTTGAACTCGTGTCAGAATCCCAGAAAACAGAGCCAATGTACATCTCTACTCGCGCCATTTCGTTGTGTGGGCTGCTTTTAAGTCATTGCACAATATACAGCACCGTGGTGGTTCTGCAGAATCAGAGTTTGGGAAGGGAGCTGTTTTATAATCGCGTGCCTGGAATAAAACGACGATGCGACGAACGTCACTGGTCCGGTTCTCCCGTGTGCACTGACAGCGAGGAGACCATCACGACCATCGTCAAGAGCCCCAGGCTCAAGCGGCGCCCGGCACCGGCAGCTCGGACGCCCTCTCCGCTGGTGGCGCTGGCAGCCCCGCAGCCTCGGACAGCGCCCAGCGGAGCCCAGGGAGGCGGCCCTGAGGGCGCACGGCTCGGCCAGTGTCGGCCCACGGAGGGAGCCCTCGAGGCAGAGGAGGAAGCGACGTGCCCGCCGGCGGCCGCGGCGGCGACCGCGGTCCAAGCAGAGGCCCTCCGGCCAAAGCGGGTGGCGGAAATGCCGGCGGCGTCGCCGCCGCCGCAGACGGTGACCGGATCGGCGGAGGTCGCGTCCGAGCAGGGCCCGGCGCGGCAGGAGGCGAGCGATGCGCAGAAAGAAAACTGGTTCGAGGTGGAAGAGGTCATCGAGGTCAGGGTGAAGAAGACTCCCCGAGCGAAGGGCTCAAAGAAGCTCTCGTCCTCGGACCGTCAGAAGCGGCGCTCCAAGTCGACCGACCAGCTGCACAAGGTGAACGCGGACAACTCGAGCAGCCTGCAGGACCTGGCCCACGCGAGCAGCGAGCCCCAGGAGCGGTCACCGGCGCTCGTGACAACAGCGGCGGTCGCGGCGCCCGAGCCGCTCCTCATCTCGGAAGCGGTGGCGGCGGCGGAGGAAGGAGGAGGAGGTTCGACTCACCTCTCGGAGGTGCACGCCTGGGTGTCCCACGGCGGAGGGCAGCGCAGCTCGTCGGGCGTCAGCGGAACAGTCGGGAAGACGATCACGCTGCAATTTGACACTGGCCGGGGCTTACGAGGCTCGGCTAAAAATAGCGGGCAGCCCGAGCCCCCGCCCAGCGAGTAGCGGGCCACCAGCGGCACTCGCGTGGGCAGCGGCGGAGGCTTCGCCATGGAAAAGCCTCCGCGCGAGTCGTAGAAGTGGCTTCGCCGTTTTGTTTTTTTTCCATGGTGCAGATTTGCGTTGTGCGTCGCGTGATTTTGTTGCGGTGTTCTGTGTAGCCCGGGTAGCAAATCGTAAATCTGTAATACATTTTTATTGTTTTAATTATTTTGTACCCAGAAAGAAAAAAAATCACGCGGAGTTATTGAAAGCAACGGGCACGCGTTACCCTTAGGTCGCTCTTTGTTTGTTGTAAACTGCAGTTGGTTATCGCCTCTGAACGAGTCCATGAAAACGCGACATCCAGGGCCGGCGACTGTCCACACACACACACGAGAGAGAGAAAAGTTCGTGTTAGCGAGACGTAGCGGCAACTTACAAGAAGAGCCGGCGAGATGCAAGAAGAATCCTCCTCCTCCTCACTCGCGTCGAGATGGGGGGCCGAGGCGGGAGGAGCTCCCCCGGAGCGTCCCGGCTCCTCCGCTAGCCCGAGCCTCCCTGCGAAGCGACCACGGGTACAGCAGCAACAGCAGCAGCAGCAACAGCAGCAACAGCTGCAGGCGTACCCCGAGCAAGATCAGCTGGTACCGACCAGCAACGGCGCCCAGGCTTCCATGCAACAACAACAACAGCAACAGGTGGTGGGGGAGTCGAACCTAATCCCGCCAGAGGAACGGCCCCAGCCACCTTCGTTCCTCCGCAGCCTGCGCAGCTCGGCCATCGGCGCCGGCTGCGACATTAAGTTGCGGGTGACCGTCACCGGCAACCCGCGGCCGCAACTCGCGTGGCACAAAGACAACGCGCCCGTGGGTGGCGGTGGTGGCCATGGGGCGAGCCTGGAGGAGGAGGAGTACGGTTGCCTCTGGATACGCGACTGTCAACCGGGCGACTCGGGCAGCTACACCTGCGTTGCAAGCAACTCCGCCGGCGCGGCACGAACGACTGCGCGACTTACGGTCATTGCACCGCAAGGTAGAGAGCGGCTCTCGCCGCTAAGTACCCCCAACACCGGCGGCTAACATCGGCGTCGTGCCGTTACAGCCGCCACGACACCCGCACGCGAATGTCAATCGGCGAAATGTTTTGTCGCGTAAAGAGCACACGGGGGGTGCCGATGTCGTTGCGAGCACGGCACACGCGCGTGTTGTTGGGAGGGCAAATGCACGACACTTACAATGTTGAGTACGACGTTTCGCCAGTAATTACAACTCGCATCATGTTTGTTTTAATTACGCGATCTAACCCAAAACAAACACCCCCCCCCCCCTCTAGTGTGGATGATAATGATCGCTCGAGTCGCACGCATTTTAGGCCACGCGGGATGAGCCGTGGTGGTGGCAAGGGGCAACCCCCCCCCCTCATCCACAATCAGGCGATTGTCGCGAGCGATCTGGAGCGGACGTTTAGCAAATGCTCCCGCCCGAACGAGTCGCCGGAGTTGAATTGCTTTGCCGGCGACGGTTGCTGGCGACTATTGCGCTCGAATTGGAGGGGATCAGCATAGACCAGCAACGGCTCTAGGACGGCACCTCGATGAACCAGCCCGACTCGCGATCCACTCAGTGTTTAGTCGTAACACGCGCACGCGAATGCGAGAGGGAATGCATGCAGGGGAGGAGGGATCGATAACAACCATAACCACCACCCCACCCCCACGATCGATAACCATGCCCACCCTCCCCCACACTCTCAACCGGTCCTGCCCGCGTACTCCCTCTCCCAGTCCCCTATCGCCAACCCGGTGAGAGTTGAGTTAATGGTCAAACATCCCAAACGCAGCAGCAGCAGCAGATAACCACCGAGGAGGCGTCGCTGTGCATTGTCTCGTTCTGCGATGCCCACGTCGCTTGTGGCCGGGGGGGTGGTGGGCGCAGGACCAACCCCGCGCCCACCAGCAAGGGCCACGTACGACGGCGTAGAGTGTTGGTCGCAGGTGGAGCGAGCGTCGTGTGGCCTCGTGGCCTCGTGCCCGCGGTGGCGGCCCCGCTGACCCTGCCACGCTCGTGCGGCAAATCCCGGGGGGGGGGGGGTGGGGGGTAGAACGTCGTCTGCTTGGGAGTTTGCGACGCGACCGTGGAATGTAAAAAAAAGCCCAGCGCGGAACCTCTCTGATGATGATGATGATTATTATTCGCCGAGTTATTGATTTGCAGTGATTTATTAAAAGTGGAAAGGGGGTGGGCGAACGGGAGGCCCCTGGCGAATCTAACGCGTGTCTGATGTCGTCTGATGTTTGTCGCATCTCGGGTGGCGCGGGAGGGGTTTGGGTTGAGCAGGGGAAGGGGGGTCGGTTCGATCCTGGGACGAGGGACATTGGGGGGCACCACCGCTGGGTTCGAGGCTGGGTTTTACCCCCCGCGTCCTTGCGAGGTCCTCGCACCGCGGAACCAAACTTCGCGCACCGCTGTTGGACAAACATCCACATGCAGCCGCAGCAGCAGCGCTCTGGGTTTAACCCGCTGGTTCTCGATCGCTAAACAAATGTACAATGTTAATGAATGCAGAGGGTTTGGTGAAACAAAGTAGTTGTCACTTACGTGCCCGTGATTAAATTTGCATTTTCGATTATTTACCTTCTAAATAAAAAAAAAATCTGTGCATGTCTCGCACCCCCCAGAAAGGGGATTATGCATAGCGAGCATCCAGCGAGGCTTTCGATGGGTAAACATGGCTCATAAAGGCAACAATAGGCCTAACTATTTAAAAAAAGCATGCACACGAAGCTACAGCACGGTGCACAATGAGTGTGCTAGGGAGCCGCGTCCGCGTGTGACACCGGGGGTGATTGAGGAGACCTGAGGCACCGCGTCTCACGCCGGGCCCGCAACTCAGCGGCGTGCCTCTCGAGTGTGCAGGCGGTGCAACTGCGACACTGCACCGGGGCCCACAGACCCAGAGGGGGGCAGCAGGCGCCGGGCCACGAGGGGGGTGGGGGTCGTGGAAAGGGCGCGCCCCCTTTGGTTCCCAGCACCCAGCGCCCACTCGAACCACGCTTCGTGCCACTTGCGTCACACAATTAAAACGTCGCGATTGTTCGTGTTCTGCACCCAGCCGATCGTGCGTCATTTCCCATCGATGGGAGCGGGCTTCGGAGGGAGGGAGGGAACTTTCCAAAGGTGACTGGCCGCCCCTTGAAGGGCTGTTGATGTTGGTGCGCGCCGGGCCGCGATGTCACCACGGATGGCACCCCGCACCCGCACGGCCCGCACCTGTCGCGCGCCCTTCGCTCGAGCGCTGTCAGCTCCGCGCTATTTTGGAGGCTGCGCGGTGCGGACCCCCCTGGCGGCCAGGGGGGTCTGGGGCCAGACCCCTCGCCGCCCGGTTTAGCCGCCCCCCGCCGCACCGCCCCCCCCCCCTCCCCGCTGCTGTTGCTGCTGCTGCGCCTCGGGAGTTTGCCTCGGCAGCTACAGCAGCAGCAGCATTATGATCGTCATTCCGCAACGAATCGTGGAGGAACATCGATTCAGCTGCCCATCGCGATATGATTGTACATCATCATCAGCATCGCCGTGCGCCGCGGGATGGACATCAGCTGTGCGCGCTGTGTGCTGATGGAGCTGTTGGCTTATTCCTGCTCAGTGGAAGGAGTGAGATGGTCCAGGCGAAGCAGCGTAGACGGTGGGACAGAGAGAGAGAGAGAGGGAGTTCAAACGAGACAACAAGACTGCAGACGGGACAGACGAGACCAGTGAGAGACATCGAGAATAAACGACACAGACGCGAAATAATAATACCGACGACAAAAGGTACAGAGGAGAGTACAAAGCAGAACATGAGACAAGACAGACAGCGGAACGTAACCACAAGCGTACAAATGAGACGGAGCTAGTCGATGCTAGCGAGTTACCCACACGGCACAGGCAGTCGAGACGGTGATCATGGAACCAACAGACCAGACACCAATGGTAGAGTCCAGAAGTTGTTATTTCGTGACCCCCCACAATCGCGGCGGTCGCCGTGGGCGTTGAATTGTGAGTCGAGGAGCGTGACACGCGCGCACCTCATGACCCTGCGCGTACGCCGGCGCGCTCAGAGACGGGGCTCCTGTGATGATGATCATAATGATCATGATGATGATCGGCTTCTCGGGTCGAACTGAGTTGATGGTATCAACGCGGTCATCCATTTCCCCAGGACACCCTTGCACAACGAGGTCTTCCTCCTCAGAGCATTATCAAAGTGAAATAATTTAACATCTCCAAAATATATCGCGCAGATAACTCCACCGCGCCACGTTCGGTCCTGCACTGAATTTGGCGAAGCGCCCCACACCACGGCGGTGAGCTCCGCTCCGTGAGCGAGATTTTCGGATTTGTCCTCCGTCTCGTGTCGTGAGGCCGATAGCGCAAGCAGGCTGGATGCATTTGGGCGAGCAGGCGACCGAGAATGCTCGAGATGCGGCCGCGGGCTGTTTGCGCGTGCCGCTGCGTGTGTCTTGAGTGGGCAGCGTGGCCGCGAGCAGCGCCAGAGCCCGATGACACCGGATCCTAGCGCGATGTAAAATTAGCACCGTGCGGGCTGGCGCTGCGATTGCTTCTTCACGCGTGGGTCTCTGCGTGGACGCTGCAGTTGGGCATCGCAAGCGACCTTCAAGAGTCCATTGGTCATGGATGGGCAAAGTTGTTGGTAAAGTTATTGCCACTTGTGGTGAAAGTTGACTTGAAATAAATATGCCGTGAAGAGCAATTGCGTAGTGCGCTCGAGCTGGTGATGAGAATCGTGCACTCGGAGCCGTTTAGCACGAGAGACTTGAACGCAGTTTAGAAGTTCAGGCTGTCTCTGTCCTATTCGTGATATCAACATACCTCCGTGGTTGTGATTTTCTCAAAATCAAATATCTAGCTTTGCGGATTTTCTAGCTTGAAGCATCGACACGGAATGGTAGCGAAATGCGAGTACGCTACCAAGAGGACACCCTCCGTGGAGATGGAGCGAGGATTCAGGAGTGGACAGGGTGGCAGCGTTGGACTGTGAAGCATA